TCACCAACATGTGGGTGACGGTGTCGTCCGACGTGAAGGAGAACTCCTTCAGGGTGACCGGGCTCCACGAGGGCACAGAGTACATCTTCAGAGTGAGCGCCGAGAACAAGTACGGCGTCGGAGAGGGACTCAAGTCTGAGCCCTGCGTCGCCAAGCACCCCTTCAGTGAGTAACGCCTACACCTGAACCCTTGGACCCTACACCTGTACCCTGTATCTGTCTCACACTTCGTCCTGTGTCCTCAGATGTTCCAGACGCTCCTCCTCCTCCTCAGATCATGAGCATGAGGCACGACTCGGCGTATCTGGCCTGGATGGACCCCAGGAAGACAGGCGGCTCCCCCATCACTGGTACGGTCACTGCTCCTCAGGGGTTCCTCAGATGTTCCTTAGAGGTTCCCTCAGATGTTCCTCGGAGCGTGTGCAGATGTTCCTCGGAGCGTGTCTTGTGCAGATGTTCATGGTGTGTTTGTTTTCAGGGTACCATGTGGAGTTTAAGGAGAGGAACAGCATGTTGTGGAAACGTGCCAGCCCAAACGCGCTCAGGATGAAAGAGCACAAGGTGACGGGTCTGACCGAAGGCCTGGAGTACGAGTTCAGAGTCATGGCCATAAACTTGGCAGGAATCGGCCGTCCCAGTGCCCCCACCGACCCGCAGGTGGCGCTGGATCCCATCGGTACGTAACACCGACTCATTTATCTTATTCAAAGACAAAAAGTTCTAATGTCCCTGCTCTCCCCTCCACAGACCCGCCCGGTAAACCCGACGTGGTCTCCATCACCCGCAGTACAGTGACGCTGCAGTGGACCGAGCCTTTGTCCGACGGCGGGCACAGACTCACCGGGTACATCGTGGAGCGCCGCGACCTGCCTTCCAAAATCTGGGGGAAATGCAACACGGTGAACGTGGTGGACCCAGCGTACACCGTCACCGACCTCCAGGAGGGCTGCAAGTACGAGTTCAGGATCCGCGCCAAGAACGCCGCCGGCGCCCTGAGCCCCCCGTCTGAGCAGACGGACACCATCATCTGCACCGACGAATACGGTGAGACTGAGACCTCGGACGGACCTGGAATGGACCTGGGATGGGGTGATAGATTTGGTTTAGACCTGGTTTAGTTTCAGTTTTAGACCCAGTTTTAGACCCAGTTCTGACCCGGTTCTGACCTATTCTCCCCTCAGCCTCTCCGACTATCATCATCGACGCTCAGGTGAAGGAGGGCCTGACGGTGCGCGCCGGCGACACCATCGTCATCACCGCCACCAGCATCCAGGGCAAACCGGCGCCCACATCCTGCTGGTCCAAGGGTGGCAAGTACTTCAAACCGTCCGACATCGTCCACATCGAGGCCACGGAGACCTCGTCCACGCTGTCCCTCAAGTACGCCAGCCGCAAGGACTCCGGCGAGTACACCATCACCGCCACCAACCCCTTCGGCGTCAAGGAGGAGACGGTGAGCGTGAAGGTGCTGGACGTGCCTGGCGCGCCCGGACCCATCGAGTGCAGCGGCATCTCCTCTGAGAAGGTTAGTCCTGGTTTAGTCCTGGTGTAGACCTGGTTTAGACCCGTTTTAGACCCGGTGTAGTCCTGGTTTACACCTGCTGTCCCTGCAGGTGACGCTCACCTGGACGGCGCCCCTGGAGGACGGTGGAGCTCCGATTAGACACTACACTCTGGAGAAGCGTGAGACCAGCCGGCTGCTCTGGACCGTCCTGGAGAAGAAGGTCCTGGACTGTCACTACGTCGCTCACAAACTCATCCAAGGAAACGAGTACTTCTTCAGGGTCCGCGCCGTCAACCAGTACGGCGCCAGCGAGCCTGCCCACTCCGACGCCGTCAAGATGGTGGACAGATACGGTGAGACACTCGCACCAGCTGCAGAAGAAGCGGCCATGTTTGTAGTTTATTTACGTCTCTGGTCACTTTTACATTTTTAGATTTCAGCGTAGTTCATAATTATCGTCTTCCATAAACATCACTGGTTGAGCAGTTAGATCCACGGATATGGACTAAGAAGCATAGGGTAGAAATCTGTGCGTATTTGCGAATTGAAAAGTTACGACATCGAGAATTAAAATCACATAATGAAAATGTACGATTACACTTTCTTCAGTATGACAACGAATACACAGACGAGACTCGACTGTCAAAAATATGTCATCACTTCACAGGCGTTATTTATAGAGCAGTAGCCCTGGTTCAGTCCTGGTTCAGTCCTGGTTCAGTCCTGGTTTAGTTCTGGTTTAGTCCTGGTTTAGTCTTGTCGCATAATCGTAAATTTTCATTTGGTGATTGTAATTCTTGATGTCGTATCTTTTCAATTTGTATTCAGATAAAATACACACAGAATATTTTGTGTACAACTGGACTCATTCAAGAGTTTATATTTATTTTATGTTGAACTACAGACAAATATTTCTGAAAGCTTGACGTGAAGATTTGAGCCTTTACAGTGGAAACCCTAACCCTATAAGAACATGCCCATTGAGAGTTTTGTTTTATTGTTTTAGGTCCTCCTGGACCTCCATCCAAACCTGAGGTGGAGAAAGTGGACGGGCACTCTGCCACTGTGACCTGGCGCCGCCCGGCAGACGATGGCGGCAGCGACATCATCAGCTACTGCGTGGAAAAGAAGGAGAAGAAAGGCATGAAATGGGTCCGAGCGTCCAAGAAGCCCGTCACCGAGCTGAGCTTTGAGGTCACCGGCCTCACCGAGGGAGTGGAGTACGAGTTCAGGGTCTCCGCAGAGAACCGCGCCGGGTTTGGAGAGCCCAGCGAGCCGTCCATGCCCGTCCGCACCATCGTCGCAGCCTGTGAGTGTCAGAGATCATTTTGTAAATAGGTCTTACAGTTAACACTCCGTAGAAGTGTAATACCACGTCTTTAAACACTTAAATCTTGACTCTGTGTTTGCAGTTCCTCCTGGGCCCCCGGTGAACCCCCGCGTCACCGACACAACCAAAACCACAGCCACTCTGAACTGGGGCAAACCGCTCGACAACGGCGGCATGGAAGTGACCGGGTACATCATTGAGCACCGCAAAGACGGCACAGAGGAGTGGGTGAAGGACACGCCCTCGTCCCCGCTCAGGATCACGGAGTTTGTGGTGCCTGAGCTCGAGGCCGGAGCCAAATACTTCTTCAGAATCAGTGCCGTGAACGCTAAAGGAGTGGGCGAGCCGGCCGAGACGCAGGAGGCCGTGGAGATCCTGGAGAGAGCCGCCGAACCTGAGTTTGAGCTGGACGTGGAGCTGAGGAGGACTCTGGTGGTGCGCGCCGGCTGCTCCATTCGGATGTTCGTCCCCATTAAAGGACGTCCCTCTCCCAGCGTCACGTGGACCAAAGAGGGAGGACCCGTGACCAGAGCTGTGATCGACAGCACAGAGTCCTTCACCATGCTCCTGATCCCAGAGAGCACGCGCCACGATGCGGGAAAATACGAGCTCACTCTGGAGAACGCGTCTGGCAAGAAAACAGCTGAGGTGCACGTGCGCGTGCTGGACTCCCCGGGACCCCCCATCAACCTGAAACCGGTGAAGATCGACAAAGAGAGCATCACTCTGTCCTGGGAGATGCCGCTCATAGACGGCGGTTCCAAAATCACTAATTACATCATCGAGAAGAGAGAGTCCACGCGCAAAGCCTTCGCCACCTGCATTATGCACTGCCCCACCACCTCTGTCTGCATCGGCGAGCTGGGCGAGGGCTGCGAGTACTACTTCAGAGTGTCCGCCGAGAACGAGTACGGCATCGGAGAGGCGGTCGAGACTTCTGACCCCATCCGCGCCTCTCAGGCCCCCACCCCTCCCCCCAGCATCATCCCCACTGACATCACCAAGAACTCTGTGAGCCTGGCCTGGACCCGCCCCAAACACGACGGCGGCAGCCGCATCACCGGCTACGTCCTGGAGGCACAAAAGAAGGGCACAGACCAGTGGGCGCACGTCACCACCGTCAAAACCATGGACTTCACCGTCAAGAACCTGAACGAAAACGAGGAGTACGTTTTCCGCGTGATGGCCGTGAACCTGTCAGGCCGCAGCGCGCCGCGCGAGAGCAAACCCATCACCGTGAAGGAGGCCACCATGCTGCCAGAGTTTGACCTGCGCTCTGTGTGCCAGAAGACCGTCATCGCCAAAGCCGGAGATGACATCAAAGTGGAGATCCCTGTGATGGGCCGTCCCCGTCCCACCGTGTCCTGGCAGAAGGACGGCGGCTCTATGAAGCTCACGCAAAGGGTCAACGTTGAGACGACTGCCGCCACTGCTGTGCTCAGCATCGGCGAGTGTAACCGCGGTGACTCCGGCATCTACACCATGACCGGAAAGAACATCGCCGGAAGCGTGTCAGAAAACCTCATTGTCAAAGTGCACGATGTCCCCGGCCCTCCCAAGGGACCCGTGAAGATCGTGGAGATCTCCAGAACCTACTGTGTGTTCTCCTGGGAGCCGCCTGAGAACGACGGTGGCGTTCCCATCAATAACTACGTGGTGGAGATCAGAGACACAACGTCACAGACCTGGACCGAGCTCTCCGCCTCCATCATCCGCACCGCCTTCAAAGCCGTGCGCCTCAACACCGGCTCCGAGTATCAGTTCAGAGTCAAAGCCAAGAACAGGTACGGCGCCGGGCCGCCCATCACCTCAGAGGCCGTGGTCGCCGCTTACCCCTTCAAAGCTCCCGGACCCCCTGGCACGCCACACGTGGTGGCCTTCACCAAAGACTCCATCACCGTGGGCTGGAACGAGCCCGTGTCGGACGGTGGCAGCGAGGTGCTGGGGTACCACGTGGAGCGGAAGGAGCGCAGCAGCATCATCTGGACCAAGATCAGCTCCAGCATGGTCAAAGGAAACATCTTCAAGTCCAGCGGCCTGGAGGACGGCGTAGCTTACGAGTTCAGAGTCACCGCTGAGAATCTGGCTGGCATTGGCAAACCCAGCAAAGCCTCCGAGGCCATCCTCGCCCTGGACCCCGTGGACCCCCCCGGCCAACCAGAGCCTGTGTTTGTCAATAAGAATGTCATCACCATCCAATGGACAAAGCCCGAGTACGACGGCGGCTTCAAGATCACCGGCTACACGGTGGAGAAGAAGGAGCTGCCAGACGGGCGCTGGATCCGCGCCAACTTCACCAACATCATGGAGACACAGTTCACCGTGAGTGGCCTGACGCAGGACGCCTCCTACAAGTTCAGGGTCATCGCCCGGAACTCAGCGGGCGCCGTGAGCGTGCCCTCGGACCCATCCGACCCAATCACCTGCCGCGACGATATCGTGGAGCCGCGCATCATGGTGGACGCCGTGTTCAGAGACGTGGTGCAGCTGAAGGCCGGAGAGTCGTTCAAACTGGACGCGGACATCGCGGGGCAACCCACACCCTCCATGGTTTGGACCAAGAACGGCAAAGAGGTGGAGAACACCCTGAAACTGGAGGTGCGCTTCACAGAGCTCACCACCACGCTCACCAACAAAGACTCGGTGAGAGCAGACGGAGGAGAGTTTGTCCTCACCGCCACCAATGTGGGCGGCTTCGCCAAACACATCTTCAAAGTCAAAGTCCTGGACCGTCCCGGGCCCCCAGTGGGACCACTCAAAGTGTCCGACGTCACGGCTGATAACTGCGTTGTCGCCTGGGAGCCTCCAGCCGACGATGGCGGTGCCAAGATTGAGGGCTACGTTATTGAGAAGCGTGAGTCGAGCCGCCTGGTCTGGACCAGCGTGGCCTCGGATCTGCAGGTCACGCAGTTCAAAGTCACCAAACTGCTCAAAGGAAATGAGTACATCTTCAGAGTCATGGCCCTGAACAAATACGGCCTGGGAGAGGCCCTGGAGTCAGAGCCCACCATCGCAGACAACCCCTACACCGTCCCCGACCCGCCCGAAAACCCAGAGGTCACCGCCATCACCAAAGACTCTATGGTCCTCATGTGGCAGGAGCCGAAGAGCGACGGAGGCACCCCTATCACGCACTACAATGTGGAGAGGAAGGACCGCATCGGCCTGCGCTGGGTCAAGTGCAACAAGAGGAAAGTGAAGGAGCTGCAGTTCAGAGTGGGCGGGCTCATCCCCGGACATATGTACGAGTTCAGAGTGACGGCAGAGAACGCGGCTGGCATCAGCGCTCCCAGCGTCTCCAGCCCCTTCTACAAAGCCACAGATGCCCTGTATGTGCCTGGTGCTCCCTGCAACCCCAGAGTTCTCGACACTACCAAGTCCTCGATCACTGTGGCCTGGAACAAACCCGTGTACGACGGCGGCTCCGAGGTCACCGGCTACGTGGTGGAGACCTGCATCCCCTGTGAAAAAGAGGAGGAAGAGGAGTGGACCATCAGGACACCGAAGGAGGGTCTGAAGGCCACGAGCTTCACCATCCTGGACTTGAAGGAGAACCAGGAGTACAAGATTCAGATCTCTGCCCTGAACAGCGAGGGCATGGGTGAGGCTGCCGCCGTGCCCGAAAACCCCAAAGCTGAGGACCGCCTGCTGCCACCCGAGATGGACCTGGACTTGGAGCTCCGAAAGGTGGTAAGCCTCAGAGCCTGCTGCTCGCTGCGCCTGTTCGTCCCCATCAGAGGGCGCCCCACTCCCACTGCCAAATGGACCAAAGAGGAGGGAGAGCCCGTGGAGAGAGCCACCATCGACACCACCTCTTCCTACACCTTGCTGGTCATCGAGAATGTGAACCGCTTCGACAGCGGGAAATACAACCTCACTGTGGAGAACAGCTCCGGCTCCAAGACGGCCACGGTCCAAGTGCGCGTCTTGGACACCCCAAGTGCCCCTCAGAACCTGAAGATCACAGCCGTGACCTTCCATTCCGTCACGCTCACCTGGGATCCTCCCACCAATGACGGAGGCGTCAAAATAAAGAATTACATCGTGGAGAAGCGTGAGTCCACCAGAAAGGCCTATGCCACGGTCAAAGCCAACTGCCACAGCACTACCTTCACCGTGGAGCAGCTGCTTGAGGGCTGCAACTACTACTTCAGAGTCCTGGCTGAGAACGAGTACGGCATCGGTCTCCCCATCGAGACCATCGAGTCCGTCAAAGTGTCTGAGAAACCGCAGCCTCCGGGAAAGATCGTCCTGAAGGACGTGACGAAGAGCAGTGTGACCTTGGCGTGGGAGAAGCCAGTGCACGACGGTGGCTCCAGAGTCGGCTGCTACGTGGTGGAGGTTCAGCCCAAAGGTGTTGAGAAATGGACCCAGGCGCTGATCGTCAAGGAGACCGAGGCCACCATCAGTAACCTGAACGCCGGCGAGGAGTACATGTTCCGTGTAGCTGCCAGGAACGAGAAAGGCACAAGCGACCCGCGGCAGATTGGTGTCCCTGTCATTGTCAAAGACCTGGTCATTGCTCCAGATGTGAAGATGCTGTTCAACACCTTCAGCGTCCTCGCCGGAGAGGACCTCACCATCGACATCCCATATGTGGCTCGGCCCAAAGCCGCCGTGTCCTGGGTCAAAGACGGGGTTCCGCTGAAGAGAACCACCAGGGTGAACTTCAGCGCCACAGAAACTATGCTAAACCTGAACATTAAAGAAGCCACCAGAGATGACGTGGGACATTACCTGATCACTCTGACCAACACTGCCGGAGAGACCAAAGCCGAGATGGGAGTGGTGGTCCTGGACAAGCCGGGCCCGCCCACAGGTCCGGTCAAAGTGGAGGAGGTGACGTCCGACAGCATCAGCATCTCCTGGAGCCCGCCCGACTACGAAGGAGGTTGCACCGTCAAACACTACATTGTAGAGAAGAGAGACACGTCCACCACCACATGGGCCATGGTGTCCCCCAACCTCGCGCGCACCAAAGTGAAGGCCAGCAGGCTGAAGACCGGGTCCGAGTACCAATTCAGGATCACAGCCGAGAACAGATATGGCAAAGGCCCGGCGCTGCTGTCCGAGTGCATCACTGCACAGTATCCCTACAAGCTGCCCGGACCTCCAGGTACGCTCATGCCAGGGTTTCACTCAAATATTCAGCACATCTGCACACACTCAAAACATTTTCATACTAGTTCAGCCTGAGACAGGATCTGATTTAGTCCAAGTTTAGTCCTGGTTTAATTCTTGTGATTCTTGTCTTGTTTTGTCATTAAACATTTAGGAATTATTTGGACAAATTGACCTTTCTCAAGAATAATGTGTACAGTGTCACTGAATCATGAATCCTAATTTAGAGAAAATTATTCTGGGACAGGTACTCTTTCATTTGTTGTTTTCAGAAAACAGTTACTCTATAGTTTATCTATATTATTTTTTATCTTCAGTATTCAGAAATACATGTAACATGTACTTTAAAAATGTAAAATGCAGCATCATTAAACTTATTCTTGAAAATCTCATGTTTGTGTAGATGGAAGGAAGAGTTAATACAGTGTCATTATATTAACATAAGTCTGTCTCTGTAGGTACTCCCAACATCGCCTCCTGCACCAAAGACACGATGGTGGTGGCCTGGAACGAGCCGGTGAACGATGGCGGCAGTGCCATCCTGGGGTATCACCTGGAGCGCAAAGAGAGGAACAGCATCCTGTGGGTGAAGCTCAACAAGTCCCTGATAACAGATCAGACCTTCAAAACCACCGGCCTGGAGCCCGGTCTGGAGTACGAATACCGCGTCTACGCAGAGAACATTGTCGGCATCGGCAAAGTCAGCAAAGTGTCAGAGGGCGTCGTGGCGAGGGACCCCTGCGATCCTCCGGGAACTCCTGAGGCGACAAAGATCACCAAGGACTCTGTGACGATCATCTGGACCAAACCAGAGTACGACGGCGGAGCCAAAGTCACAGGTTACATCGTAGAGAAGAAGGAGCTGCCCGAGGGCCGTTGGCTCAAAGCCAACTTCACAAACGTCATCGAGACAGAATACGTCGCCACCGGACTTGTCCCTGATAACCAGTACGAGTTTAGAGTGATCGCGCGAAACGCAGCTGGAGTATTCAGTCTGCCTTCCTACAGCACCGGTCCCATCACCGCCAAAGACGAGATCGAACCGCCGCGCCTCAGCATCGACCCCGAGTACACGCAGACGCTCGTCGTCAACGCTGGAGACAGCTTCAAGATTGACGCAGATGTGCACGGGAAACCGCTGCCCTCCATCCACTGGATGATGGGAGAACACGAGCTGGGCAACACCATCCACAGGGAGATCAAGAATCTGCCCACAAAGGCGTTTATCTCAGTGAAAGAGGCAAAACTGTCCGACGGAGGAGAGTACACGCTGCTGCTCAGGAACCCCGGAGGAGAGAAGTCCGTGAAGGTGAACGTGGTGGTTCTAGACAAACCTGGCGAGCCACAGGGACCTGTAAATGTGACTGGAATCATGAACGACCGCTGCAGCATCTCGTGGAAGGCCCCGCTTCAGGACGGCGGCTCAAAAATCTCACACTACATCGTGGAGAGACGCGAGACCAGCCGCCTCGTGTGGACCGTGATCGACCCCAAGGTGGAGAACACCTGCCTGAAAGTAACCAAACTCCTGGAGGGAGATGAGTACATCTTCAGGATCAGAGCCGTGAACCAGTTTGGTATTGGCGCTCCTCTGGAGTCCGGTCCCGTCCTCATCAAAGACCCATATCTGCCACCAGGAGCACCTAGAGCCCTGGAAGTCTCAGACATTAAGAAGGATTCTATGGTGCTGACGTGGGAGGCTCCCTCTGAAGATGGAGGCAGCCCCATCACTGGCTACATCATTGAGAAACACGACAAAGACGGTGTGAGGTGGACACGCTGCAACAGAGGCACCGTCACCGACCTGACCTTCAGAGTGACTGGGCTTTTGGAGAGCCACATCTACGAGTTCAGAGTCGCCGCTGAAAATGCCATTGGCGTTGGAGAGGCCAGTTCCCCCACTGTCTTCTTCAGAGCTGTGGACCCCGTGTTCAAACCGGGCCCTCCACATAACCCCAGAGTCCTGGACACCTCCAAGTCCAGCGTGTTTCTGTCCTGGGGCAAGCCGGCATGCGACGGCGGCTGTGAGATCCAGGCTTACATCGTGGAGTGTTGCACTGCTACAGCTCCAGTTGAACCTGCTCCAGAGGCTCCTGCAGAGGAGGCCGCCACCCCAGAGGCTCCCGCCGAGGAGTGGGTCATGTGCACACCGCCCGCCGGCATTAAACACACCAAATATGAGGTCACAAGCCTGAAGGAAAACCAGGCCTACAAGTTCAGAGTCTGCGCTGTGAACAAAGTGGGCGTAGGCGAAGCAGCGGACGTGTCCGGCATCATCGTGGCTCAGGACAAACTCGAGGAGCCCGACCTTGACATTGACCCTGAACTCCGCAACATCGTTTCCATCAAAGCTGGCGCTTCTCTCAGACTCTTCATCCCTATCAAAGGCCGTCCCACTCCCACCGTGAAATGGGGCAAAGACGAAGCACCGCTGAAGGAGACGGCACAAGTGGAGATCACGAGCAGCTACACATCTCTTGTCATCGACAAAATGAGTCGCAATGACAGCGGCAAATACTCTATCACGGTCGAGAATGCCAGTGGAACCAAGTCTGCCTACATTGTGGTGCGGGTCCTGGACACGCCGAGCGCCCCCGTCAACCTTAAGGTCCAGGAGATTACAAACCAATCGGTCACTCTGGCCTGGGAACCACCTCTTCTGGATGGAGGCTCTAAGATCAAGAACTACATTGTGGAAAAGAGAGAGAGCACCCGTAAGACCTATGCCGCCGTGGTCACAAACTGCCACGCTCTGTCCTGGAAGGTGGAGCCTCTGCAGGAGGGCTGCAGCTACTACTTCCGAGTCCTGGCGGAGAACGGTCATGGCGTGGGGCTACCCGCCATCATCGTGGACCCTCTGAAGGTCTCAGAGGTGCCCCAGTGCCCTAAGAACCTGATTGTGACGGACCAGACCAAGACCAGCATCTCTCTGGCCTGGGAGAAGCCGGAGTATGACGGCGGCAGCAGAGTGCTGCAGTATCTGCTGGAGGTGCAGCTCAAAGGGCAGGAGAAGTGGAACGGTGTCAACACATTTAAGACAATGGAGGCCACAGTGTCCAACCTGAACCCAGGTGAAGAGTACCTGTTCAGAGTCACCGCCATCAATGACAAGGGCAAGAGTGACCCCCGTGTCCTGTCCGGTCCCGTCATGACCAAAGATCTGGTGATCGAGCCCGACGTGCGCCCGGCCTTCAGCAACTACAGCGTCCATGTCGGGAAGGACCTGAACGTGGTGGTGCCGGTGATCGGCCGCCCTAAACCTGTGGTGAGCTGGAGCAAAGACGGAGCGCCTCTGAAGTTCACCACACGCGTGAACATTGTGAACACGAATGGCACAACCGCACTCAGCATCAAAGAGGCGGCAGGAGATGATGGCGGCATGTACACCGTCAGCGCCACAAACACAGCCGGAAAGAAGGACACCTCTATCGAGATCATCGTCCTGGACAAGCCAGGTCCTCCCTCAGGCCCCGTGAAGTTCACCGAGATCACGACTCAGAGCGTCACTCTCTCCTGGGACCCGCCCAAACACAACGGCGGCTGCCAGATCTCAAATTACATCATTCAGAAGAGAGACACAACCACCACCGTCTGGGAGAACGTCAGCATCAACTGTGCCAGGACCTGCATCAAAGTGAGCCGCCTCAAGACCGGTGCCGAGTACCAGTTCAGGATCATCGCTCAGAACAAATATGGAAAGAGCCATGGCCTGGATTCCCCGACTGTGGTGGCCCAGTACCCGTACAGAGAGCCCGGTCCCCCTGGCACTCCCTTCATCGCTTCCCTGTCCCGCGACCACCAGGTGGTGGAGTGGCACGAACCCATCTCCGACGGAGGCTCCCCAGTCCTGGGATATCACCTGGAGAGGAAGGAGAGGAACAGCATCCTGTGGGTGAAGATCAACAAGACTCTGATCCATGAGACCACGTTCAAGAGCTACCCGCTGGAGGAGGGTATAGAGTACGAGTACCGCGTCTACGCTGAGAATATCGTCGGCATCGGCCGCTGCAGCAAAGTGTCTGAGGGCTGCGTGGCACGTGACCCGTGCGACCCGCCCGGTCAGCCCGAGCCTATCCATGTCACCAAAGACACCATCGTGATTCAGTGGACCAAACCCGAGTACGATGGCGGTAGCAACATCACCGGCTACACAGTGGAGAAACGCGACCTGCCTGAGGGACGCTGGGTCAGAGCCAACTTCACCAACGTCATCGAGACACAGTTCACCGTCACCGGCCTCACGGAGAATGCTCAGTACGACTTCAGAGTCATCGCCAAGAACGCCGTGGGCACCGTCAGCAAACCGTCCTTCAACAGTGGCCCTATCACTGCCAGCGACAGCATAGAGGCGCCCAAATACTCCATCGACCCCGAGTTCACAAAGACCATCATCATTAACGCTGGAGAGACGTTTAAACTGGACGCAGACGTGCGCGGTAAACCCCCTCCCACAATGCAGTGGTTTAAGGATGAGAAACCAATCGAAAACACGCTGAGACTCGAGATCAAAAACTCAGAGACTCGCGCCATGATCGTGATCAAAGACTGTGTGCGCATCGACGGAGGGATGTATGTGCTGCAGCTCACTAATGAGGCCGGCGCCGAGACCATCCCCTTTAAAGTCGTGGTTTTGGACAGGCCCAGCATCTGCGAGGGACCCCTGCACGTGACCGGGGTGGCCGAGGACAGGTGCACGCTCGCCTGGCGGGCGCCACTCCATGACGGCGGCAGTGCGGTCACTCACTATGTCATCGAGCGCAGAGAGACGAGCCGATTGGCCTGGACTGTGGTCAGCAGCAGCTGCACCGCCCCCTGCTACAAAGTCACCAAACTGCTGGAAGGAAATGAGTACACGTTCCGCGTGATGGCCGTGAACAAGTATGGCACCAGCGAGCCTCTGGAGTCCGAGAATGTCATCATGAGAACTCCGTTTGTGGCACCAGGACCGCCGCACATCGAGGATGTGTCTCACATCGCACGTGATGGAATGACCATCGTATGGACCGCCCCCGAATCTGATGGAGGCAGCGAGATCACCGGTTACATCATCGAGAAGAAGGACCGAGCCGGAATCAAATGGACCAGATGCAACCGACAGAAAGTGACCGACCTGTCCTTTAGGGTGACCGGGCTGAGCACAGGGCACGAGTACGAGTTCAGAGTCTCTGCAGAGAACATTGTTGGCACTGGAGAGCCCAGTCTGCCCAGCTCCTACTACAGAGCCTGCGACCCCAAGTTCAAGCCCAGCGCTCCAAGCTACATCAACGTCATTGACTCCACCAAGACCTCCCTTTCTCTGGCCTGGGGCAAACCGGCGTCCGATGGCGGCAGTCCCATCCAGGGCTACATTGTGGAGGTGTGCAAAGCTGAGGAGGAGGAGTGGACCATGGTCACTCCCGCCACCGGCCTTAGACTCAACAAATATGAGATCACAAAGCTGGCGGAGGGACAGGAGTACAAGGTCCAAGTGTGTGCTCTGAATAAACTGGGCGTGGGTGAACCGGCTGTCCTCTCCGGCACCGCAAAGACCGAAGACCGAGTGGAACCTCCACAGATTCACTTGGACTCCGAGCTCAGGAAGGGCATTGTGGTGAAAGCCGGCGCCTCCGTCAGAATCCACGTCCCATTCAAGGGCCGTCCGCTGCCCGAGATCAAGTGGAGCAAAGACGAGGGCGACCTGCCAGAGAGGGCGGTGGTGGAGAAGGCTCTGACCTTTACACAGCTGTCCATCGACTCCAGCGACAGAAACGACTCCGGGAAATACGCTCTGAGTCTCACCAACAGCAGCGGCACAGTGTCTGAGGTGGTGTCTGTCAAAGTTCTGGACACGCCCTCCGCGCCACTCAACCTTGTCGTCAAAGACGTCAAAACTGACTCTGTGACACTGGTGTGGGACGCGCCGCTCGTTGACGGAGGCTCCAAAATCAAAAACTATGTCATCGATAAACGTGAATCCACCAGAAAGGCCTACGCCAACGTCTCCACCAAATGCACAAAGACCACATTCAAAGTGGAGAACCTGATCGAGGGCGCCATGTACTACTTCAGAGTGTCCGCAGAGAATGAGTTTGGAGTGGGACAGTCGGTGGAAACTAAGACTGCCTCCAAAGCCGCCGAAGTGCCGCTGCCGGTGGGAAAGATCTATCTGACCGATGTGACTAAAGTCAGTGCAACTTTGGCCTGGGAGAAGCCAGAGCACGACGGAGGAAGCAGAATCGGAGGTTACCTCATCGAGATGCTGCCCAAAGGAACTGACAAATGGGGCGTGGCAGCAAACGTGAAGACCTGCGAGGGCACCGTGAAAGGCCTGACTGCCGGAACAGAGTACATGTTCAGAATCATTGCTTACAATGACAAAGGCAAGAGCGAGCCCAAAGCCTTAGCTGCTCCCGTGATCGCCGCAGACATGACGATGGAGCCCAGCATCAAACTGCAGTTCAACAGTTACACCGTCCTCTCAGGGAAAGACCTGAAGCTGGAGTTCCCAGTCATCGGACGCCCCAAACCCAAAGTCACATGGACCAAAGACGGGCAGCCACTCAAAGTCACCTCCAGAGTTAACGTGGTCAACACAGAAAGCACCACCTCCATCTCCATCACAGAGGCCTGTAAAGATGATCTTGGCAAATACACCATCACCGCCACCAACTCTGCCGGCTCTGCCACGGAGGAGGTGTCTGTGATCATCCTGGACAAACCTGGCCCACCCAAAGGCCCTGTGAAAGTGCTGGAAGTGAGCAATACATTTGTGAATCTCGCCTGGGAACCGCCAGAGTACACGGGAGGCTGCCAGGTCAAAAACTACATTGTGGAGAAACGTGACACGACAACACAGACATGGCAGCCTGTCACCGCACAGCTCGCCAGAACGGCTTTCAAAGTCACCAAACTGAAGACGGGCGCTGAGTACCAGTTCAGAATCATCGCAGAGAACAGGTACGGAAAGGGAGTGCCTCTGGACTCCAAGGCTATTGTGGTTCAGTACCCGTACAAACCACCAGGGCCCCCCGGAACACCCTACATCAAATCTGCCACAAAGGAAATGATGATTGTGGAGTGGAACGAGCCGGTGAACGACGGAGGCAGCCCTGTGATTGGCTACCACCTCGAGAGCAAAGAACGAAGTAGCATTCTGTGGAATAAACTCAACAAGACGCTCATCGCCGACACGCAGTTCAAGATCTGTAATCTGGAGGAAGGAATTGGCTACGAGTTCAGAGTGTACGCCGAGAACATTGTCGGAATCGGCCGCTGCAGTAAAGTGTCCGAATCCTTTGTTGCCCGTGATCCTTGCGATCCTCCCGGCGCTCCTGAAGCTGTGACCATCTCCAAAAACCTGATCAAGATCCAGTGGACCAAACCACAGTACGACGGCGGCAGCAAAGTGACCGGATACATCGTGGAGAGGAAGGACCTGTCGTCTCCCGACGGGCACTGGGTCAGAGCAAACTTCACTAACATTGCAGACACCGAGTACACCGTCACTGGCCTGACCGAGGGAGAGCAGTACGACTTTAGAGTCATTGCCAGAAATGCAGCCGGAGTTTTCAGTGAACCGTCCGACAGCTCTGGACCCATCACTGCCACAGACGAAATCGAGCCTCCGCGCGCCTCCATGGACCCCAAATACAAGGACGTCATTGTGGTGAACGCCGGTGAGAACTTGGTGCTAGATGCTGATGTTTACGGCAAGCCTTTCCCTGAGATCAGCTGGCACAAAGAGGGCAAGGAGATGGATAAAGCTCTGCGTATTGAGGTGAAACTCGCCTTGAAGCGTGCTTCCGTCACCATTAAAGATGTGACCAAACTCGACAGCGGAAACTACGATCTTGTGCTGAAAAATCTCGGAGGCACAAAGAACTTCCCCATTGTTGTTAAAGTCCTGGACAAACCAGGCGCTCCTGCCGGGCCCATGAAGGTGACAGGTGTGATGTCTGACCGTTGCACACTCTCCTGGGCTCAGCCCACTCTTGATGGAGGTGCTCCCATCACACACTACATGCTGGAGAAGAGAGAGACCAGCCGACTCTCCTGGACTGTGGTCGCACCCAAAATCGATGGACTTTTCTACAAGGTCAAGAACTTGCTTCCGTCTGAAGAATACATCTTCAGAGTGAGAGGTGTGAACAAATACGGCATCGGTGACTTCCTGGAGAGTGAACCCATCATTGCCCGTAACCCGTACAAACCCCCGAGTGCCCCGGGTACCCCTGAGGCCAGTGAAATCACAAAGGATTCCATGCTCCTGTCCTGGTCTGCCCCAGAGCAAATCGGTGGAGCAGAGATCCAGAGCTATCACCTGGAGAAGCGAGACAAAGACAGCGTGAGATGGACCAAATGCAACAGAGAGAAGCTCCTGGAGACCAGCTTCAGAGTGACCGGTCTGATGACCGACCACTTCTACGAGTACCGCGTCGCGGCAGAAAACGAGGCGGGCATGGGAGACCTGAGCGAGCTGTCTCTCTTCTACAGAGCATGCAACGCTCTTACTCCCCCTGGACCCCCACACCATCCTAAAGTCATAGACTACTCCAAGACTTCAGTGTCCCTGTCCTGGGGTAAACCTGACTTCGATGGAGGTGCCTACATTAAGGGATACATCGTGGAAATGAGGGAGTACACGCCAATCCCTGAAGAAACGGAGGAGGCAGAGGTGGCTCCTGCAGTTGAACAAATTGTGGAGAAAGAATGGTCCATGTGCACTCCCCCTACTGGAATCCAAGCCACAAAACTCACCATCACAGACCTGAAGGAGGGAGGAGAGTACCAGTTCAGAGTGTGTGCCATAAACTCAGAGGGCGTGGGTGAAGCTGCCAGTGTCCATGGCACTGTGGTTACCTCATCCCGCGCCGAAGCCCCAGAGATGGAGCTGGACGCTGACCTGAGGAAGGTGGTGTCTGTGCGCGCCGGTGGAACTCTACGTCTGTTTGTGACAATCAGAGGACGCCCGGAGCCTGCAGTGAAATGGGAGAAGGTAGAGGGCACTCTCACAGACCGCGCCGCGATCGACACCACCAGCTCCTACACCATGTTGGTCATCGATAATGTGAACAGGTTTGACAGTGGCAAGTACTCACTCACACTGGAGAACAGCAGTGGATCCAAGTCTGCTGTGGTTGCCGTGAGAATCCTGGACACTCCGAGCGCGCCGCAGAACTTTGCCGTCAAGGAACTGAAGAAGGACTCTATCACTCTGGCCTGGGACACACCTCTGACTGACGGAGGCTCCAAGATCACAAACTACATTGTGGAGAAGAGAGAATCTGTGCGTAAAGTCTACACAACTGTCACCAGCAACTGCACGGCCAACTCCTTCAAGATTGAAGAGCTGCCCGAAGGAGGAACCTTCTACTTCAGAGTGTGCGCCGTTAACGAGTACGGACAGGGCCAAAGCGTCGAGACCAAAGAGATCAAGATTTCAGAAGTACCTCTGCCCCCGAACAAAGTCTCTCTCGTGGATCAGACCAAGACCAGCGTGTCTTTGGCCTGGGAGAAACCAGCCCACGATGGAGGCAGCAAAGTCATGTGCTACAATGTGGAATTCAAGCCAAAGAGCGGAGACAAATGGGGCACAGCCTGCACCGTCAAAGTCCTAGAGGCCACAGTGGCCAACCTGACACCCAACGAAGCGTATCTGTTCAGAGTCGTGGCCATTAACGAGAAGGGCAAGAGCGAGCCCAAAGACCTGGGGCTGCCGGTCATCGCCAAGGACGTGGACATTGAGCCCTCAGTAAACCTGCTGTTCCACGCTTACAGCGTCAAAGCCAAAGATGACCTGACCATCGAGGTGCCAGTGAGAGGCAGACCCAAACCTGTCGTCTCCTGGAAGAAAGATGGCCTACCTCTGAAGCAGACCTCCTCCGTGACCATCTTGAACACAGCCACCTCTTCAAAGATCGTGATCAAAGAGGCCAGCCGGGAGCACATGGGCAAATACGAGATCACTCTGGCCAACAGCGGAGGAACGGTCTCCACGGACATCACTGTTGTTGTCCTGGACAAACCCGGACCTCCTAAAGCCATCAAAGTGGATGCTGTCACCTCTGACAGCATCACTCTGTCCTGGTCTCCACCCGAATACGACGGCGGCTGCTCCATCAGCCACTACATCGTGGAGAAGAGGGACACCAACTCCCAGGAGTGGCAGATGGCTGCCGGGAATGTGGCCAGAACGGCCTTCAAAGCTGGGCGTCTCACTCACGGATCAGAGTACCAGTTCCGCATTTACGCTGTGAACAGATATGGAAAGAGCACATACCTGGACTCACCCGGAATCACAGCTCAATACACCTTCAAACTGCCTGGACCTCCTTCCACTCCCATCGTGAAACTGGCCACCAAGTCCTTCATGATCGTGACATGGAACGAGCCGGTGAACGATGGTGGCAGCCCTGTGCTGGGCTACCATCTGGAGAGGAAGGAACGCACGAGCATCCTCTGGACCAAGATGAACCGCGGCATGATCAAAGACACAGAGTTCAAGGTGAGCGGCGTGGACGAGGGTATGATGTATGAATACCGTGTTTACGCAGAGAACATCGCTGGCATTGGTAAAAGCAGCAAAGCCTGCGAGGCCGTAGCAGCCAGAGACCCGTGCGACCCCCCGGGAACACCCGTAGTAACGGCCGTGACCAGGTCCTCTGTGTCTCTGTCCTGGGACAAACCCGAATACGACGGTGGTGCCAAAGTGTCCGGCTACGTCATTGAGCGTAGAGACCTGCCCGAAGGACGCTGGACCCGCTGTAACTTCACCAATGTGGCCGAGACGCACTACGATGCCACCGGCCTCACTGAGAACAGCCAGTACGACTTCAGAGTCATCGCCAAGAACGCTGCCGGACTCTTCAGCGAGCCCTCAGACAACACCGGGCCAATCACAGTCAAGGACGACGTGGACCCGCCCCGCATCATGATAGACGTGAAGTACAGGGAGACGGTGAAGGTGAAAGCTGGAGAGACGCTGAGAATCAGTGCCGACCTGGCCGGACGTCCTGCCCCCGTCGTCTCGTGGACCAAAGATGGAAAAGAGATTGAGCTGAGAGCCAGGATCCAGATCGTGTCCACAGACACAAGCACCGCTGTCGTGGTGAAGGACTGTATCCGTCGTGACTCTGGTCAGTACGTCCTCACGCTGCAGAACATCGCCGGGACGGTCACCATGCCCATTAACTGCGTGGTCATGGACAAACCCGGGCCCTGCGCCGGGCCTCTTCAGATCACCGGTCTCACGGCCGAGGCCTGCACTCTGTCCTGGGGCCCGCCACAGGAAGCCGGAGGAGAAAAGATCACACACTATGTGGTGGAGAGAAGAGAGACCAGCCGTTTGGCCTGGACCATGATCAAAGGAGACATCACAAAGACCTTCTACAAGGTGAAGGGGCTGCTGAAAGGAGAGGAGTACATGTTTAGGGTGCTCGCCGTGAGCAAACTTGGCACCGGAGAGCCTCTGGTGAGTGACCTTGTCAAGATCACCGACCCCTTCACCATCCCCACAGCGCCCCTGAGCGTTGACGTCACCGACATCACCGGAGACGCCATGACCCTGACCTGGTGCAAACCTGTGGCGGATGGAGGCAGCCCCGTGATCGGGTACGTGATTGAGCGCAGAGAAAAGACCGGCATGCGCTGGGTCCGTGTCAACAGGGACCTGGTGACTGAGTGCACGGCCGTTGTCACCAAACTGAGGAAAGGCTGTGAGTACGACTTCAGAGTGTACGCCGAGAACGCCGCCGGCCTCAGCCCGCCCAGCGAACAGTCTGCCACCTTCAGGGCCGCAGATCCTCTGGTCATTCCCTCTCCTCCCACCAAACCCAAGATCATAAACTCCACTAAAGATTCCATCTCCATCGTGTGGAAGCCCCCCACTGAGGACGGCGGAGCACCTGTCCTGGGCTACAGCGTCGAGTACAGAGAGTACATCCCTAAACCCCAGCCAGAGGAGGACGAGGAGGAGTACGAAGAGGAGGAAGAGGAGGAGTCTCCTGAGGAGCTGGCACGGTGGACTGAGGCCATCGCTCTGACCAAGAGCCTGGAGTTCACCGTGAGCGGCCTGAAGACCGATGCTCAGTACGAGTTCTGTGCCAAAGCCGTGAATAAAATCGGCGCGAGCAGCCGTAGCCCGTACTCTGAGCCCGCCGCCGCCATGGACCGCACCTGTGAGCCCGCCTTTGACGTGGACATCGAGATGAGGAAAGTGCTGATGGTCAAACACGGTGCCGCTTTCACCCTGAATGTGCCCTTCAGAGGAAACCCCGCCCCCACAGCGGAATGGACCAAGGAGGGAGTGGACCTGAAGGTCAGAGGAACCATAGACTCCACAGAGTCCCACACTAAACTCACCATCGACAAAGCCACCAGAAACGACTCAGGTGAATACATCGTCACCATCACTTCGCCTCTCGGCACCGCCACACTGCCCATGGTGGTTAAGGTCCTGGATTCGCCTGGACCGCCCATGAACGTGAAGGTGTCTGCGGTGACCCGCGACTCCGCCACACTCACCTGGGAGCCGCCGGAGAACGACGGAGGAGACGCGGTGAAGGCGTATCACGTGGAGAAGAGAGAGGCCAGCAAAAAGGCCTGGGTCTGCGCCACAAGCAACTGCCACGAGCTGAGCTACCGCGTGGAGGACCTGCAGGAGGGAGCCATCTACTACTTTAGAGTCATAGGAGAGAATGAGTATGGCGTGGGAGTGCCCCAGGAGGCCAAGGCCGGCACCAAGATCACAGGTACGAAACACTGAAAACTGACCCAATAATGACCAGAGGGCAGTGTAGGGTGTAAACAGAGATTTAAAGGGACAGTGTGATTCTAGAAATGTTAAAATTAATTTCTTGATAATAAAAAAAAATTATAAAAAATAAAAACAATTCCTTTGAGAGTTTAAATAATAATCATTATTATTTAGTAATAATAAGTTTATATCATATTGTTACGTGTAACAGCAGCTCAACTTGAAAACTGTTAAAATTAATGAAAGATTCATTTATTTTTAACTGTGTTAGTATTTCACGTAAGTTCACCCATCCTGTTTGGTTCTTCTCAGAGGTGCCCACGGCGCCGCTGAAGCTCGGTGTGGTGAATGTGACCAAAGACAGTGTGACCATCGGCTGGACCCGGCCCGAGTACGACGGAGGCAGCCGTGTGAGCGGGTACCTCATTGACGCCCTGGAGAAGGGTCAAACCAAGTGGGTCAAATGTGCCACCGTGCGCACCATGAACCACACCATCAAGAACCTGCGCGAGGGAGCTGAGTACTTCTTCAGAGTGAGAGCCGAGAACCACGCCGGCCTCAGCGAAGCCAAGGAGATGATCGTCCCTGTGCTGGTCAAAGAGATCCAAGGTAAGACTGAAATAACATCAGCACCACGAGGGACTTGATTAAGCGGGAATATTAACGTCATATTTAAATAAATCTGAGCGAATCTGTGAACAGTGTCTAAACTTTTGACTGACTCTGCTGTTTTTCTGTTGCGTTTCCACAGAAGCCCCAGAGTTCGACCTGAAGAACTATCCCAAACACACAGTGTACGTCAAAGCCGGGTCCGACCTGAGCTTTGAGATCCCTCTGACCGGACGCCCTCAGCCCAAAGTGGCTCTGTCCAGAAACAATGTGGCCATCAAGGCTTCAGACAAGAGGCTGACTGCAGAGGTGACGCCGGACAGTGTGGTCATCTCTCTCACCGAGGCCATCTCCAAAGATGCCGGCAAGTATGAGATCACCGCATCCAATGCCGGCGGCACCACCAAAATCAGCTTCACCTTTGTGGTCATGGACAAGCCCGGCCCGCCCATCGGCCCCGTGGAGGTCGGAGAAGTGGGGGAGACCAGCGTGTTCCTGAAGTGGACACCTCCCGAGTACGACGGCGGCAGTCCCGTGACGCATTACGTCGTCTTAAAGAGAGAGACCAGCACTCCAGCCTGGACCGAAGTCACCACCAACGTCGCCCGCAGCGCCATCAAAGCCACCAAACTGACCAAAGGCGAGGAGTACCAGTTCAGAATCAAAGCTGTGAATCGCTACGGCGTCAGCGACCACATCGACAGCAAACCCGTCATGATCAAACTGCCCTACAGTGAGTAACACACCACACATCTGTGCATGCTGCCATTTCATCTCTGCTCACGCTTTCCTCTGTCCACAGCCATCCCCGGACCCCCGTCCACACCCTGGCTCTCGCTGGTGTCCAGAGAAAGCCTGACCGTGTGTTGGAACGAGCCTGTGGCTGATGGTGGAAACCCCGTGTTTGGGTACCACCTCCACATGAAGGAGCGCAGCAGCATCCTGTGGCAGAAAGTCAACAAGACCGCCATCCCCGGAAACCAGTGGCGCGTCACCAACATCCTGCCCGGCATGATCTACGAGTTCAAGGTGGCGGCCGAGAATGCCGCCGGCATCGGCAAAATGAGCAAGACCTCCGAGGAGGTTCTGGCCATCGATGCCTGCGGTGAGTGGGCGGGGCTTGAGGAACACCCATTGTTATTATTCCGTCTGTGTTTAACACTGCTGTCCTCTCCACAGAGCCACCCGCCAACGTGCGCGTGACAGAAGTGACCAAGAACTCAGCGACTCTGGCCTGGCAGCGCCCGCCATACGACGGTGGCAGTAAGATCACCGGCTACAGCGTGGAGCGGCGAGAGTCCCCCAGCGGACGATGGGTCAAAGCCAACTTCACCAACATCATCGAGATGGGCTTCACCGTGTCTGGCCTGAACCAGAACGAGGCCTACGAGTTCAGAGTGTACGCCAAGAACGCCGTGGGCTCTGTCAGTAACCCGAGCCTGATCGCCGGGCCAGTGACCTGTGTGGACATCTCCGGTGAGTCTCTTTACGTGGGACAGAATGATAAAATAAAAACATAATGATGATCCACTGAGTAACCTTAACCTTCTGTCCCACAGGAACCCCCGCCATAGACCTGCCGCCGGAGTACCTGGACGTGGTGCGGTACAAGGCCGGTTCTTCTGTGAAGCTCAGAGTGGGCTTCACTGCCAAACCTCTTCCCACCATCGAGTGGTCGAAGAACGGAAAAGAGCTGGTGACCACCTCCACCGTGTCTGTGGAGAACACCACAGACTCCAGCGCCGTCCTGGTCAAAGACGCCACTCGTGCCGACACTGGAGCCTACGAAGTCAAGGTCCGAAATGTCCTGGGCAGTGCCACGGCCACCATCCGCATGGAGATCCTCGGTAAGAGCCACAGTCAGGTCCATTAGCTGTCAGTGGGACATGTATTTATGAAGAACATTTACAAATTTGAGAGCGAAACGATCAGACTCACAGATTCTGGCGTTTTCAACCTGCTGCTCACAGTTTGGACGGTTGTTTTTAGGTTGTAATAGTTTTATTCCTCACTGCGCGTCCCTCTCTGCGCAGACAAACCCGGTCCCCCTGCCGGCCAGATCACCTACACTTTGGTCTCTGCCGATAAAATCTCCTTCCGCTGGGAGCCGGTGCCTGAGTCGGACCAGGGCGGGTACAAAGTCACTCATTACATCGTGGAGCGCCGCGAGACCAGCCGCGTCGTGTGGTCCACCGTGTCCGAGCACCTGGAGCAGAACTTCGTCAGCGTCGGAAAACTGGTCAGTGGAAACGAGTACGTGTTCAGAGTGATGGGCGTCAACAAGTACGGCGTCGGCGAGGCGCTGGAAAGTGAGCCGGTCATCGCCAAGAACGCTTTTGGTGAGATTCTTTTAATGTGTTTGAAATATCAGAACTAAAAATTTTTCTACTTTGGTTTTTATAAGATGTTGTACAGATTCCAGAAAAGTAAATACCCTCGCTTTAAATGAAAAATACAAAATTACTTAATTCCACAAATAATAAATGACCCAAGTCTAGTTTAGTTTCACTTTTGATCCAAATGTGTCACCTGCCACTGTCACCTGCCTGACCCTGTCTCACCTGCCACTGTCCCCTGTCCCTCAGTGACTCCTGGTCAGCCACGCACTCCCGAGGTCACGGCGAGCACCAAAACCACTCAGGTGGTGGAGTGGGACAAGCCGGGCGTGGACGGCGGCAGCACCGTGAGCGGGTACTACCTGGAGCGCCGCGACAAGAAGAGCCTGCGCTGGATCAAAGTCTACAAGGACCCGGTGACGGAGCCCAAGCAGACGGTGTACCACCTCACTGAAGGAAGCGAATACCAGTACAGAGTTTGCGCCATTAACCGCGCCGGAGAGGGACCCTTCTCCGACGCCTCCGACTACTACAGAGCAGCCGACCCTGTCGGTAAGAAAACAACCCTCACCCTGACTAGGACAGGGCAAAAATATTGAAATATTGAAATATCGTATTGTTAATGTGATACAGTCTGGATATCGTGTGCTGCTGTATCGATAAATCACCAAGAATATTTTTTGGTTTATTTTACTACTTTATTTTATCATAGAGCTCGTTTATGCCACACATTTGACCTTTTCACCGTTTTGAGGCTTAAAATGTTTGTGTTTCATATGAAGAAGTGGTTTAACAAAGACTTTTAGTATCACGGACATAATTTAGACTTTAGTTTTTATTGAACTGTATCAGATCAATTTGAAATACATATCATATGTTTTTATTGTGTGATGCTTTTAATGTTTCTTTAAACCTGAATCTGAATTTTCAGCTTCTTCACGCTCATTTAAACGAGTTCAATCTTTATCTTTATCACAGCAAACATTAAAACAAAATATAAAACCATAAAGTCCAAAAAAAAAAGTGAAGTGTTGTCCAGCGGTTGAGCCATGTCCCCTCTCCCTCAGACCCTCCAGACGAGCCCGTGAAGCTGAAGGTGGTGGACTCCACAAAGACCTCCATCACCCTGGGCTGGTCCAAGCCCGAGTGGGACGGAGGCAGCGAGGTTCTCAGCTACATGGTGGAGAAACGTGTGGGCGAGGAGGACTGGACCATGGTCACGTCCAAAGGCGAAGTGAAGACCACAGAGTTCACCGTCCACGACCTCAAGCCCGACACCGACTACTACTTCAGAGTGTCTGCGGTGAACTGCGCTGGGCGTGGAGAACCTCTGGAACTCACCGAGCCAGTGCAGGCCAAGGACATCCTGGGTAAGAGAGGTCCCCAAACTACATTAGAACCCCCTAACCCTATTAGAACCTCATTAAAACCCTATTAGAACCCCATCAGAACCCTGTCAGAACCTTACCCTAACCCTCCCCTCGCAGCGTAGCTGTGTCCATATTTATCTATGACTGTATTAGGTCCTGACCACACTGCAAAAACTTGGCTAAAATGTAAGATCTACACACTTTAATCTATCAGAAAATAACTGAAATTATCTGTCCATGCACCAAGATAAATTTACCTGACAAGTTCTGAAAATAAACAACCTCTAGACAAGAATGAAAACATATCAGAATGAGTAGGTAGATCATAAATCTAAAAACCAGATGAATAATCTGATATAAGTTTTAAATTGGAGGTCCTTTTGCTTTGTGACTGACCCTGGCTCTGGTCTCCACAGAGGAGGCTCAGGTGGACACTGACGTGGCCATGCGCACGCACTACGTGGTGAAGGCCGGTAAAGACGTGGAGCTGTCTGTGCCCATGAAGGGGCGTCCCGCTCCCACCGCCTCCTGGTCTCTGGGCGAAACCTGCATCGACAAAGACCCCAGATATGAGTTCCATCACACGGACACCACCTCCACGCTGGTGCTCCGGGAGGTAACCCGTAACGACACCGGAAAGTATCACGTGAAGATCGAGAACGGCGTGGGCGAGCCCAAGAGCCTGACGCTGTCCGTGAAGGTCCAGGACAGTCCGGCCCAGTGTCAGAACCTGGTGCTGAAGGACGTGACCAGAGGGAAGGTCACGCTCTGCTGGGAACCGCCGCTGTCTGACGGAGGAGCCGAAATCACCAACTACATCGTGGAGAAGCGCGACTCCAGCAAACGCAGCTATTCCGCAGTGACCAGCAAGTGCATGGAGACCACCTACACCATCGAGGACCTGTCCGAGAAGACCTCCTTCTTCTTCAGAGTCCTGGCTGAGAATGAGAACGGCGTGGGTGACCCGTGTGAGACCGCCGAGCCGGTGAAAGCCACAGAAACACCAGGCCCTGTGAAGGACGTGGTCATGAAGGACTCCTCCAAGACCTCCGTCACACTGCAGTGGGTCAAACCAGACTATGACGGCGGCAGCATCATCTCCGACTATGTGATCGAGAAACGCGTTAAAGGAGAGGAGGAGTGGTCCGCCGGGGGAGCCAGCCGCCACTGTGAGTTCGAGGTGAAGAAGCTGAAGGAGCATTCGGAGGTCCAGTTCAGAGTCGCCGCACGAAACGAGAAAGGACAGGGAGACTTCACCATGTCCCAGCCCATCAAAGTGGTGAGTCTGAACTTACACAATATTAACACACAATATTAACGGCTTCTTAAGTTTCAAGATTTTTATTGTCATAGAAAACAACTAAATTAAAGTCATTCTGACCTGTATGGACCTGTAGCTTCTACCTGAGGGCAGCAGGTGGAGCAGGTGAGCAGGGTGGTGTTTAAGTATCACTGAACCTCCGTGTCTTTCAGGTGGACTACATCATCCCTCCAGAGGCAGACCTGTCCGAGTACCCCGGCGGTCAGCTGAACATCCGCCTGGGCCATAATGTCCATGTGGAGCTGCCGTACAGAGGCAAGCCCAAACCTTCGGTCATCTGGCTCAAAGACAACCTGCCCCTGAAGGAGAGCGACCAGATCCGCTTCAAGACCACAGAGAACAAGGCCACGCTGATGATCAAAGCTGTGCGCAAAGACAACGAAGGCAAGTACACGCTCACGCTGGACAACAAGGTGAACAGGAAGTCCTTCCACCTGCACGTGGTGACTCTGGGGCCGCCCTCCAAACCCGTGGGGCCCATCAACCTGGACGAGGTCAGAGCGGAGAGCATCACCATCTCCTGGGAGGAACCCAATGACGACGGAGGCGGAGAGATCACCTGCTACTCCGTGGAGAAGAGAGACACGTCCAAGAACGAGTGGAAGATGGCCTGCTCCGCCGTCACCGACACACGCTTCAAGGTACGGACGGATTCTTAGGTAGTTTTAATTCAGACCTGTTCTCCACAGATGTTTCTCCATGTTCTGGTTGTTTCTTCTCCCGCTGAAATGTATTTGGAGTCTTATTTTCCCTGTTTAGCCCCCATTTAGTCTGGTTGTACCCTCTTTGTTGCAGGTGAACACCGTGCTGGTGCGGGACCCTGTTCAACCCTCTTCATCCCTTTTTAGTCCTGGTTTAGACCCAGTTTAGTCCCAGTCTAGTCCAGGTTGAGTCCCAGTTTTAGTCTCTTATTTTCAAGACTCGCTCTGTCTTTAACTAAACAAGTTTTAAAGTGGTTTCTCTGACTTTGTTTCTCTGAGTTTGTTTCTTGTTGTTTCTTGTTTCTCTGAGTTCTTCGTCTCTCTGTCTCCAGGTGCCTAACCTCATCAAAGGGGTGCAGTATCAGTTCCGTGTGTGTGCGGAGAACCGTTACGGCGTCAGTGAGCCACTGCTGTCTCAGATGGTCGTGGCCAAACACCAGTTCAGACCTCCAGGTCCTCCGGGAAAACCCTTCGTCTACAACGTGACCAACGACGGCATGAGCCTGCAGTGGGAGAAGCCGCTGTACGACGGCGGCACGCCCATCCAGGGCTACCACGTGGAGAAGAAGGAGAGCAACAGCGTCATGTGGCAGAAGGTCAGACCCCACCACACCCCCTTTAGACCTGCTGTAGGGTCCTGGACTAGTCCTGGTTTAGTCCTGATTTAGACCCACTTTAGTCCTGGTTTAGTCCTGATTTAAACCCACTTTAGTCCTGGTTTAGACCCGGTTCAGCCCTCTATGTGTTGCAGGTGAACATGGTGCTGGTGAGGGACTCTTGTTAGCCTCCTTTAGCCTCCATTAGACCCTCTTTAGACCCTCTTTAGTTCCTATTTAGACCCTTTTAAACCCTTTTTAAGTCTTGTAAGTCTTTATTTTATTTAGCGCTTTTCACAGACATGTCACACAGACGCTTTACAGAGCATTATTCACTCACTCCAGACCCGGGGATGGTAAGCTAGTATTGTCACCACAGCTGCCCTGGGGCAGACTGATGCGCTTCCATCAGTCTGCCCCAGGGCAGCTGTGGCTACAATAGTATCTTACCATCAGCCCCCTTGAGCCCCGTTTAGCCCCCTTGAGCCTGGTTGTACCCTCTGTGTCGCAGGTAAACACGGTCCTGGTGAGGGAGACAGAGTTCCGGGTGCTGGAGCTCATCGAGGGGCTGGAGTATTCCTTCAGAGTTTACGCCCAGAACGACGCCGGACTGAGCCGCACCAGCGACGAGAGCAAACCCACGATGGCAGTCAGCCCCGTGGGTAAGGACCAGATTAGTCCTGGTTTAGACCTGGCTTAGTTGTGTTTTAATCCTGGTTTAGTCCTGGTCTAGACCCGGTCCAGTCCCGGTTTAGACCCGGTTTAGACAAGGTTTAATGGCTTTTTTTCTGGCAGACCCGCCTGGGCAGCCGGATTACACCGACATCACGAGCGACAGCGTGTCTCTGAAGTGGGACGCGCCCAAACGCGATGGCGGCTCCAAGATCACGGGCTACACCATCGAGAAACGCCAGGGCAAAGGACGCTGGTTTAAGGCCAACCTGACGGACTGCACCGACTGCCAGTACACCGTCACCGGCCTCGCCACCAACGAACGCTACGAGTTCAGAGTCATCGCCCGCAACGCCATCGGGGTGGTCAGCCCACCGTCCAACTCGTCCGGTCTGATCATCGTACGCAGCGAGAACGGTGAGAATAAACCCTGACTCAAACCAAACCCCTGACACTAACCCCTCTACCCCAAATCTCTACCGCTCCAATAATCAGCCATAGAAGTGATACACTGTCCCCTTTACTGCTTCAATAGCACCTTATTACATTTAAAAAATTACACAGGATTAAGTACACGATAAATATTAACCTCCAGCTTTCACTGAACAGTGACCCTCTGACCTTTGACTCTCTAATCCTCAGCTACACCAAATCTGGAGTTCGGTCCTGAGTACTTCGAGGGACTCACAGTGAAGGCGGGCGATAACATTCGCCTGAAGGTGACGGTGACCGGACGCCCCACGCCCAAAGTTGTGTGGTTCAGAGACGGAGTAGAGATCACCAAGAAGATGATGGACATCATCACTGTCTCAGGCTCCAGCACGGTGTTCGTCCGAGACGCCGACCGCTCTCACCGCGGCCTGTACGCCGTGGAGGCCACCAACAACTCTGGCACCAAAAGGGAGGAGATCTTGGTCCAAGTGCAAGGTATCCGTCCACGCTGGGCACAGCACCAACTACAAACGAGTGTCTCACCTGCCGCCTGCGTCTAAGTCCCTCTCTCTCTCCTCTCTCTCCCGCAGACACTCCCGGCGAGCCGGTTGGACCCATCGTCTTCTCAGACATCTCTGAAGGGAAGGCCACTCTGTCCTGGGGTCCTCCTGAGAACGACGGCTGCTCTGAGGTTTCGCATTACATCATCGAGAAGCGCGAGACAGCAAAGATTTCATGGGCGCTGGTGACGGACGAGTGCACCAGCTGCTCCTTCACTGCCACCAAACTCATCAAGACCAACGAATACCAGTTCAGAGTGTCTGCCGTCAACAAGTTTGGTGTGGGCCGGGCGCTGGAGTCCAGCCCAGTCATCGCACAGATGCAGTACAGTAAGTCTCATACTTATTTTAGACATTTGAAAGTGTTTAGAATGGATTTAATGTCCCTGCCCCTTTCTCTGTCAGCCACTCCCGATGGCCCTGGCACTCCCGACGCCACTGAGGTGACCGGCGAGAGCATCACCCTCTCCTGGACCCCACCATCCTCTGATGGAGGAAACCCCATCCAGCACTACATCCTGGAGAAGCGCGAGAAGAAGACGATGCGCTTCTACAAAGTAATCACCAAAAAGCCAATCATAGAGTGTGCGCACAAAGTGACCGGTCTGACTGAGGACGTGGAGTACGAGTTCCGTGTGATGGCGGTGAACGACGCCGGCGTGGGCGCGCCCAGTAACGTGTCCATAGCAATTAAAGCGGCGGAACCCAAAGACATCCCCTGTGCCCCGTCCATCATGTGCGTGTCCGACACCACCAGCTCCTCCATTAGCCTGGAGTGGACCCGGCCAGCCGACGACGGCGGCATGGAGGTTCTGGGCTACATCCTGGAGATGGCCAAAGGAGAAGAAGAAGAGTGGAAACGAGTGAAAGAGACCGAGCTCATCCCAGAAACACACTTCACCGTGAGCGGACTGGAGAGCGGAGCGTCGTACAGGTCAGAACATCTTTCTTCCGCTCTCTCACTCTTTCACTCACTCTGTCTCTCACTCTTTACCTCATCTCACTCGCTCTCGCTCTCTCTGCAGGTTCCGTGTGGCGGCGGTTAACCACGTTGGCCGTGGTGAGGATCTGACGTTACCAGAGCCGGCGCAGGCAGTGGAGCGTCTGACGGCGCCCCAGGTGGACATCGACGCCACCTTCAAACAGACGCACATCGTGAAGGCCGGCGGCTCCGTGTACCTGGGCGTGCACTACAGAGGAAAGCCTGTGCCCGCCGCCTCGTGGGCGAGAGACGAGGGCGAGCTGGGCGCCATGACAGAGGTCCAGACCACAGACGGGCACAGCACCCTGTCCATCGAGAACTGCTCCAGAACCGATTCTGGAAAATACACTGTAACCCTGGAGAACAGCAGCGGCAGCAAGGCCATCATGTTCACCGTAAAGGTACGGCCACCAGGGGGCGCTCAGTGATACACTTAATGTTTATGTTGAATGAGGTGACTCATGACTCCTCCCTCTCCCCTCAGGTCCTGGACACGCCCGGACCTCCTCAGAACGTCATGTTTAAGGACGTGTCCCGCGGGTCCGTCACGCTGGTGTGGGAGGCGCCCGTGTGCGACGGCGGTGCAAGGATTCACCATTACATCGTGGAACGCCGCGAGGCCAGCCGACGCACCTGGACTCAGTCCGGCTCCAAGACCGTCGTCCCCGAGCTGAAGATCGACGAGCTGTTGGAGGGAGTGCCCTACTTCTTCAGAGTTCTGGCAGAGAACCAACACGGCCTGGGCGAACCCTTTGAGATCACGGAGCCGGTCATCGCCACCGCCGAGCCCTCGGCGCCCAAACGCCTGGACGTACTGGACACCACAGACTCCACCGTGGTGCTGGGCTGGCTTAAACCGGAGCACGATGGAGGCAGCCGTATCCAGGGGTACCTCATCGAGGCCCGGCCCAAAGGAGGAGACAAGTGGGTGGTGGTTGGAAACACTAAGAACCTCACCTACACCGTGGACAAACTCAACAAGAACGACCAGTATGACTTCAGGGTGAAGGCCAAGAACGAGGCGGGCTACAGTCTGCCCAAAGAGACCATCGCCTCTGTGCTGGTTAAAGAACCACACATTGAACCTGCCGCTGACCTCAGCGAGATCATCAACCAACTGGTGTCCTGCCGCTCCGGCAGCTCCTTCACCATCGAAGTGCCCATCAGCGGCCGCCCCGCCCCCAAAGTCTCCTGGAAACTGGAGGACATGAGGCTCAAGAGCTCCGACCGCGTGAGCATCAAGACCACCAAGGACCGCGCCAGCATCACCGTGAAGGAGGCCATGAGAGGCGACGGAGGCAAGTACTACCTCACCCTGGAGAACGCTGCTGGAACCAAGACCTTCTCTGTGGAGGTGAACGTGACTGCCCGCCCCAGCCCGCCCACCGGACCTATCGAGATCTCCTCCATCACCTCTGAGTCCTGCGTAATCGCCTGGGAGCCGCCCGAGGACGATGGAGGCACCGACATCACCAACTACATCGTGGAGAAGCGTGAGTCTGGGTCCACGGCCTGGCAGCTCATCAACTCCAGCGTGAAGAGGACCTCGCTCCACGTGGGCCACCTCACCAAGTACATGCAATACACCTTCAGAGTGTCGGCAGAAAACCGTTTCGGTGTCAGCAAACCCACTGAATCCGAGACCATCGTCGCCGAGCATCCCTTCAGTGAGTTGGACCCAAATCTGAACCAAGTTTAGAGGAGGGTTTTAAAGGGAAGGTTCTAATTTGTGTTCTCTCGTTTTAGCTCCGCCTGGCCCGCCCACGCGCCCCACCGTGTTCAACGTCACGGCGAACTCCTTGACGCTGAAGTGGGAGGAGCCGTACAACGATGGCGGCAGCAAAGTGACGGGCTACTGGATCGAGAAGAAAGAGAGGAACAACATCCTGTGGGTGCGCGAGAACAAGATCCCCTGCTTCGAGTGCTACTACAAGGCAGAGGAGCTGGTCGAGGGGCTGGAGTACCAGTTCAGAGTCTACGCCATGAACAGCGCTGGCCTCAGCAAAGCCAGTGAGGCCAGCAAGGGCGCCGTGGCCCAGAACCCTGTGGGTGAGTACACACGCCAGAACCCTAACCCCGTGGGGGACCGAGCGCTGACCCGGACCATGAACAGGTCGAGGAGGTTTCAGGTGGTCATCACTGTTTTTGTGATCAAGATGTTTTCGGCACCATCCAGAAAACATTTTCTGAGAACTGAATTTGAAGAACTGAGCTTTCTCCAAACCAGAGTTTAGTCTAGCTCCAAAGGCAGAGGAACTTTTGGAGAAACTAAAATGGCTTCTGGGCGAAACATAATATAGCAAATAAACCAAGAGCTTATGAACCACCTGTCTCACCTGTCTCACCTGTCTCTCCCGTCTCTCCCGTCTCTCCCGTCTCTCCCCAGACCCTCCGACCAAACCCGAGGTGACGAACGTGACGCGCACCACGGTGTCTCTGAAGTGGGGCGCTCCTCTGAACGACGGCGGTTCGCCCATCAGCGGGTACATCGTGGAGAGGAAACCGTACACGGTGACGGGCGAAGGCCGCTGGCTCAAGTGCAACTACACCAACGTGACGGACACCGCGTTCACTGTGACGGCGCTCGGCGAGGGCGAGCCCTACGAGTTCAGGGTCATCGCCAAAAACCAGAACCAGGTCTTCAGTCTGCCCTCCGAGTCCACCGGCTCCGTGCAGTGCAAGACCGACTTCGGTAAGAGGGGGCAAAAGAGAGGGGGCAAAAGAAGGGGGCAAAAGGGAGATGGCAACGGGGTGCAGAGGGGGTGAAAGGGACAGATTCTGATGATTCAGCTCAAGGTTCTAACACTTTTGTCTCTTCCTCCTCCTCTCGTTCTCGTCTTCTCCTCTGCAGAACCTCCTAAAGCTCAGTTGGACAGTAAGCTCCTGTCTGAGACCGTGTTTGTCCGTGCCGGGTCGGACCTGGTTCTGGACGCGGCGGTCGGGGGCAGACCGGACCCCAAGGCCTCGTGGTCCAAAGGAACCCGTGAGCTGGAGCTGTGCGAGAAGTACCAGCTGACCTACACGCCCACCAAGGCCCTGGCCGTCATCAAGTTCTGCGACCGCGATGACACCGGCAAATACGTCTTGACCGTGAGGAACGTGAGCGGAACCAAGACTGCCGAGGTCAACGTCAAAGTGCTCGGTATGGACCCGCACACTCCTCCAGGAGAACCGGACCCTGATAGAACCGGACTCTAGACACAGAACAAAATTGGACTATAGAACTGGACTATAGAACTAAACTATTGAACCCAGATCTAAAAACAAAGTATGTGCACCCACAAAGAACCAGACTATATGCACCCCTACAGAACCGGACTATAGGTTCTGTAGTCCACAGAACTGGACTTTTGGTGCCCCACAGACTGTTTAAAGAAGTGTTCTGATTGAGTCACCACAGTTACTTTCACTTTAGAGAAATGTTCCGGCTTCATTCGGGTTTTAAAGACGTATCGATATATATCAGTATCGCTCCGCAGGGCCACATGGACCCGTCTTTAACGATGGCGACTGTTTTGGCAAAACGAGTCTAACCTTCCGCTCTCTCCCTCAGACACTCCGGGCGTGTGTGAAGGTTCCATCGACATCTCGAAGGTGACGGAGGAGTCGTGCGTCCTGTCGTGGAAGCCGCCGCTGGAGGACGGCGGAGACGACGTAGCGCACTACGTGGTGGAGCGCCGCGACACCAACCGCCTGAACTGGGTCATCATGAACGCCGAGTGCAAAGAGACGTGCTGCGCCATCAGCGGCCTCTTCAAAAACACTGAGTATCTGTTCAGAGTCAGAGGCGTCAACAAGTACGGCACCGGTGTGCCCCTGCAGTCCGCCCCGATGATCGCACGCAACACTTTCAGTGAGTACCCCAAACTCCTCCAGGGCCACGTTTACAGGATGTTTTTAAATTCAGAATGAATTGTTCTGAATTAAATAGTTTGGAATTAAAATATAGTTTACCTGGAAATGATAATTCTGAAATGAGGTTCACATGGAAAACTCGTTAAATCATCTTTATTTAATTCCACTTAACGTCTGGGAGTCGGGGAATTAAGAAATGAATCGCCTGCCCCAGATTACAGCCTGGTCTCAAATAAATGCCTGGTTTTAGTTTAGTTTTTATAGAGTATTTGGTATATTTACGGTTTACATGGTCTTTTTAAAGCATTTTTATTCAGAATAAAAATTATTTTTATTTAAAGTTAAATCTCTTATGTGAAGAAGTGAACTAATCTGCATGATTCTGGTGAAGGTGTGTGGAGTTGAAAATCAGATTGAGAGAAGAACTCATGCTAAATGTGCAGGGTTTGTGCGTTAAACGTGTGTGAAAGAAAGAAAACACAACTCAAGAAGTGACATTAGAACAGAGATCTGTAAGTAACTGTGGTGCCCGTCTCTGCAGCTGTACCCTCTCCGCCCGGTCCGCCCGAGATCCTGGCCTCCGGCAAAGACTTCGCCACCATCGAGTGGCTCAAACCCGAGTCTGACGGAGGCAGCCCCATCCTGCACTTCCTGGTGGAGCGGCGGGAGAGGAAGAGCGCCCGCTGGGTCAAAGTGAACCGCGACGGGCACCACACGGACACCACCCTCAAAGTCTGCAACCTCACTGAAGGAAACATCTACCAGTTCAGAGTCACCGCCATCAACAAGGCCGGGGAGAGCGAGGCCAGCGAGGTGTCGCTCTACGTCGTCTGCAGGGTGCCCACAGGTGAGAACCCAGCCAAGGACGAAAGCAGGACTAAAACTGGACTAAACTAGGACTAAACTAGGACTAAAGCAGGACTAAAGCAGGACTAAAGGAAGGTGAGATTTACCTGTACCTGTGCCGCAGGTGTGCCCGCTCCCCCGTCCATCCCCCGCATCATGGACACTCACGCCGACAGCATCAGCCTGGCGTGGGCTCGGCCCGTGGAGGATGGCGGCGCAGACGTGATGGGCTACCTCCTGGAGATGCAGGAGTCTGGAGCTGAAGAATGGACCAAAGCTCACGAGAAGACGATCCGCTCCACAGAACACACCGTCACCGGCCTCACCGCCGGAAAGAAGTACGTGTTTAGAGTCGCCGCCATCAACATCAACGGCACCGGAGACTTCAGCGACTCGTGCGCCGAGACCGAGCCGATCGAGAGACTGGGTACGTACCGTTTGTGTTTATTTTTATATGTTTATGTACAGGGGTCGCATTTCACAGGCCAATAAAACATTACATTTAATATTTTAATCTGTTTCTAAACATTCTGTGAACATTTTAATTACCAAAATTATTGGCCTGTGAAATTATGTCACATTTTTTGGAACAATCTCTCTTTGCAATAATCTCTCTAACGCCCCCTGCTGGTCTCTCACAGAAACCCCAGACTTCGAGCTGCACGACGACCTGAAGAAGACGGTCTGCCTGAGGGCGGGCGGCTCCCTGAAGATGCAGGTGAACGTGACAGGTCGCCCCACACCTGCCATCACCTGGAGCAAACCGGGCGTGGACCTGCACAACCGCGGCTTCATCGAGGTCACGGCCACATCCACGCAGCTCATCATCGACAAAGTCCACCGCTACGACGCCGGGAAGTACACGCTAACCGCCGAGAACAGCGCCGGCAAACAGGAAGTGAACATCCTCGTCAAAGTCTACGGTGAGGAATAATGAAAGATTTAACACCTAGGACTACTACTACCTATTACTACCTACTACTACCTACTACTACTACTCCTCCTGACTCTTCCTTCCTCCGCAGACACGCCTGGTCCCACTGGTCCAATCAAAATTAAGGATCTGACCAAAGACAGTGCGACCATCTCGTGGGACGCCCCGACCGTGGACGGCGGCGCTCCTGTCAATAACTACGTGATCGAGCGTCGGGAGGCGTCCATGAGGGCGTACAAAACCGTCACGTCCAAGTGCAGCAAGACGTCGTACCGCATCGACAACCTGCTGGAGGGAATGCTCTACTACTTCAGAGTCCTGCCAGAACATCTACGGAGTGGGCGAGCCCCGAGAGACGCCCGACGTCATCCTGGTCTGCGACGTGCCAATGACGCCCGCCAAGTTTGAGGTACAAATGTCAACAGTCTAGGACCAGATCTAAACTGGGACTAAACCAGGACTAAACCAGGACTAACTCAGTTCCTTGTCCTTCTAGGTGACAGATGTGACTAAGTCGTCGGTGAGCCTGGGCTGGGAGAAGCCGGAGCACGACGGCGGCAGCAGACTCACCGGGTACCTGATCGAGGCCTGTAAGGTTGGCACAGACAAGTGGATGAAGGTGGCGACACTGAAACTCACCGACTTTGAGCACACGGTGGAGAAACTGAACGAGAAGGAGCAGTACCTGTTCAGGATCAGAGCCATCAACAGCCGAGGAGCCAGCGAGGCCCGAGAGCTGGTGACCGCCGTGACCGTCCAGGAGCAGAGAGGTGAGACCGGGACTGAACCAGGACTAGGACTAAACCGGGACCGAGACTAACCCAGTCTGTCGTCTGTCTCCTGCAGTGATGCCGGCCGTGGACTTGTCCACGTTGCCTCAGAAGGTGGTGAACGTTCTGTCCGGAAAGACGCTGGAGCTGGAGCTGCCGATCATTGGACGCCCGCCGCCCGTCAGCGCCTGGTACTTTGGCGATAACCGCCTGAAAATCACCGACCGCATTAAAATAAAGGGCACGGGCAAGAGCGTCAGCCTCACCATGGCAGACACCTCCATCGACGACTCCGGAGAGTACACGCTAGAGCTGAGGAACGCCGTGGGCACCATCAGCGAGAAGATCAAGATCATTGTTCTCTGTAAGTAACACCGGAACCACAGACTTTTATTTACAGAAACAGAGAACCTCAGAAACTCCAGACCAGGCCCAGTAGGGTTCACATGGGTCCTGGAGAATCTGAAGAACCTGGAGAACCTGGAGAACCTGGAGAATACTTGACCTGTTTTCCAGACATGGAAAATGAGGAAAAAATATCCTGGATAGAAGTATAAGTATATAGAAGTATTTAGTGTTATGTCAGTGTTCCCTGATTTCTGAGAGAGGACCTGAAGACCTGAGGACCTGAGGGTCTGAGGGTCTGATGACCTGAGGACCTGAGGACCTGAGGGTTTGAGGGTCTGAGGGTCTGAGCACCTGTACTGTAACACACTGGTTTATTTAAAAAAGACTATCTTGTGTTTGCATCACTCAAAAGTTCTGGAAAAGTCCTGGAAAATGACTTGTAGCAAAGGGACCCCTGAGCTCAGGTCGGTGAGGTCCTGTCGGCAGGTGCACAGACTGACCACTCTCTTTGCCCACAGCCAAACCCGACGCGCCCGAGGGTCCCATGCATTTCGACGAGGTAGACGCCACCTCAGTGGTCCTCAGCTGGAACCCTCCGCTCAGAGACGGGGGCGCACCTGTCAGCGGGTACGTGGTGGAGCAGAGGGACGCGCACAGACCGGGCTGGGTGCCCGTGTGCGACTCCGTCAGCCGCCCCACTTTCCGCTTCACCAACCTGATCGAGGGCGACGAGTACGTGTTCAGAGCCGCCGCCACCAACCGCTACGGCACCGGGGAGTACCTGCAGTCTGAGGTGGTCACCTGCCGCAGCCTCAACGGTGAGTACCCGCGCTGACCCCGACCCTGACCCCCAACACCGACCCTGACCCTCTCTCCTCCCGCAGACGTGCCCGGACCGCCTGGCCGCCCCATCATCTTCGACGTGTCTCGTGACGGCATGACCGTGGCGTGGGAGGCGCCGGTGGAGGACGGCGGTTTGGAGGTGTCGGGTTACATCATCGAGAGGAAGGAGGTGCGCTCGGACCGATGGGTGCGCGCCAACAAGAACCCCATCACCATGACCCGCTACCGCTCCACCGAGCTCACCGAAGGGCTGGAGTACGAGCACCGCATCACCGCCATCAACGCCCGCGGCACCGGCAAGCCCAGCCTGCCATCCAAGCCTGCCGTCGCCACAGACCCCATCGGTGAGTCTGACACACGGGGAGGGCATCTGACACACAGGGAGGGCATCTGACACACGGGGAGGGCATCTGACACACGGGGAGGGCATCTGACACACGGGGAGGGCATCTGACACACGGGAGGGCATCTGACTCATTTCTGTCTCCTCAGACCCGCCCGGATGCCCGCAGAACCCTCGCGTCACAGACACCACCAGCTCGTCCGTGTCTCTGGCGTGGAACCCGCCGGATGACGAGGGCGACGCCCGTTTGGACGGGTACCTGATCGAGATGCAGAAGGCCGGAGGTGTGGCCTGGACCAAGTGCAACACGACGCCATCGCTGATCTGCGAGTACACGCTCACCAACATGCCCCAGGGCGAGGAGTTCCACTTCAGGGTCCTGGCGTGTAATGCCGGCGGCTGCGGCGAGCCCGCCGAGGTGCCCGGCATCGTCAAGATCACAGAGATGCTCGGTAAGTAACTGGTGCCACCTGACCCCTCCCCCTGGCACTGCCCACTGACCCGCTGACCCTGGCACTGCCCGCTGACCCTGGCAGCTGACCCTGGCACTGCCCGCTGACCCTGGCACTGCCCGCTGACCCTGACACTGCCCGCTGACCCTGGCACTGCCCGCTGACCCTGACACTGCCCGCTGACCCTGGCACTGTGAAAGCGGGTGCCTAACCCTCTCCTTTCTCCTCACAGAGGCCCCAGACTTCGAGCTGGAGCTGAAGTACAAAGACGTGTACGTGGTTCGCCAGGGCGGCGTGGTACGTCTGTCGGTGCCCATCCGAGGAAAGCCGCGCCCGTCCTGCTCGTGGTCCAAAGACGGCGGCGCCGTGTCTGCGGCCGCCATGATCGCCTCCACTGAAGACGCCAGCGAGCTCGTCATTAAAGGGGCGGAGCGCGGAGACAGCGGCGTCTACAACCTCCTCCTGGAGAACCGCGTGGGCAAGAAGAAGGCCCAGATCAAGGTATGAAACTGGAACTAGACCTGGGCTGGACCGGGGATGGACTGAGACTGGACTGGGGCTGGACCAGGACTAGCTCACATTCTGAACCCGGTCTAAACCCGGTCTTGGTCTCACGGAGCTGTTCTTCTGCAGGTGAAGGTGATCGGCCGTCCCGGCGCTCCACAGGGCCCCTTGGTGTTTGACGAGGTGCAGGCCAACAGCGTGAAGGTGAGCTGGCAGCCCCCGGCCGACGATGGCGGCTCCGAGGTCCTCGGGTATATCGTGGAACGCCGCGAGGCGGCGAGGAACGCCTGGTACACGGTGGACTCGCGGGTGACGGACACACACCTCCTGGTGAAGGGACTCAGAGAGGGAACAGAATATCACTTTAAGATCACCGCCGAGAACGCCTTCGGCATCAGCGGATCCCTTAAGTCCGATCAGCCACTGGTGCCCAAGACCCCACTGTGTGAGTGACAACAACACAACAAACACAACACACACGACATACAACACACAACTCAGTGCAGTTAAATTAGTTTGAGTGTAGTGAGCGCCCCTTGCAGGCAGATATACTGCAGTGTCACCAGAGTCGGACCACAACTGAACCCCAAACCCTCAGAATGACCTTTGACCTCTGTGTACAGGTGTTCCGGAGCCATCGTCGTCACCTCCTGAGATCATGGACGTGACCAAGAGCTCCGTGGCTCTGTCCTGGGCGCGCCCCAAAGACGACGGCGGTTCGGCCATCATCGGATACTTCATCGAGTTTAAGGAAACATCTGCCGAGTCCTGGAGTCGCCACGGCGCCAAAGTGACGTCCACCATGTTCACCGTGTCCGGACTGACCGCCGACGCCGAATACAGCTTCAGGATCGTCGCCGTCAACGACATCGGCGAGAGCCAGCCAGGCCCCGCCTCCGACCTGGTCACCTGCAAGGATCCATTTGGTGAGAACTGGTGTCCTCTCTCTCCTCTTCCTCTCTCCTCACTCCTCTCTCCTCTTCCTCTCTCCTCTCTCTCTCTCTCTCTCTCTCTCTCTCTCTCTCTCTTCTCTCTCTCTCTCTCTCTCCTCTCTCTCTCTCTCCTCTCTCTCCTCATCTCCTCTTTCTCTCTCTCTTCTCTCTCTTCTCTCTCCTCTCTCCTCTCCCTCTCCTCTCCTCCTCTCTCCTCTCTCTCTCTCTCTCTCTCTCTCTCTCTCTCCTCCTCTCCTCTCTCTCCTCTCTCCTCTCCTCTCTCCTCTTCCTCTCTCCTCTTCCTCTCTCCTCTCCTCTCTCCTCTCTCCTCTCTCCTCTCTCTCCTCTTCCTCTCTCCTCTCTCTCTCTCTTCCTCTCTCCTCTCTCCTCTCCTCTCTCCTCTCTCCTCTCTCCTTCTCTCTCTCTCTCCTCACTCCTCTCTCCTCTCTCCTCTCTCTCTCTCTCTCTCTCTCTCTCTCTCCTCTTCCTCTCTCCTCTCTCTCTTCTTCCTCTCTCCTCTTCCTCTCTCCTCACTCCTCTTCCTCTCTCCTCTTCCTCTCTCCTCTCTCCTCTCCTCTTCTCTCTCTCCTCTCTCCTCTTCCTCTCTCCTCTCTCTCTCTCCTCTTCCTCTCTCCTCCTCTCTCCTCTTCCTCTCTCCTCTTCCTCTCTCCTCACTCCTCTCCTCTTCCTCTCCTCTCTCTCCTCTCCTCTCTCCTCTCCTCCTCTCCTCTCCTCTCCTCTCTCCTCCTCTCTCTCTCTCCTCTCTCCTCTTCCTCTCTCCTCTCCTCCTCTCTCCTCACTCCTCTCTCCTCTTCCTCACTCCTCTTCCTCTCTCCTCTTCCTCTCTTCTCTCACTCCTCCTCTTCTCTCTCCTCTCTCCTCTTCCTCTCTCCTCTCTCCTCTCTCCTCTTCCTCTCTCTCCTCTCTCTCACTCCTCTTCCTCTCTCCTCTTCCTCTCTCCTCTTCCTCTCTCCTCACTCCTCTTCCTCTCTCCTCACTCCTCTTCCTCACTCCTCTTCCTCTCCTCAGATAAACCCAGTCAGCCTGGTGAGATCGACACGGTGGCGGTCACTAATAACTACATTTCTTTGCGGTGGTCGGCGCCGGAGTGCGACGGCGGGAAGCCCGTGCTCGGATACTGGGTGGAATATCGTAAATCCATCGAGAGCTCGTGGAAAAAGTGCAACAAGCAGCGGCTGAAGGAGGCGGAGTTCCTGATGCCAGGACTCGCCGAGGCCACCGAGTATGAGTTCAGAGTGTTCGCCGAGAACGAGACCGGAATGAGCCGACCCAGAAGGACCGCCACCTGCATCAAGACCAAGCTCATGGGTGAGTCCAAACCAAGACTAAACCGTGTCTAAACTGTGTCTAAACCAGGTCTAAACCAGGTCTAAACCAGGTCTAAACCAGGACTAAAACAGGACTAAAACAGGTTTTGTTCTGTCCTCAGTGGAGAACAAGCCGAGCCTGAGGAAGGAGATGGACGAGGTGACGGCCAAACTGGGGCAGCCTGCGGTCATGAAGTGCCAGATCATTGGGCGCCCGGTGCCCGACATAAAGTGGTACCATGCGGGCAAAGAGGTGGTCGAGTCACGCAAGTACGAGATGAGCTCCGATGGGCGCAACCACTCTCTGTCCATCATGACCGACCAGCAGGAGGACGAGGGCGAGTACACCTGCAAGGCCACCAACGAGGCCGGCGAGGCGGAGACCACGGGCGTCCTGGTCCTGGAGGCTGCGCCGCGCTTCCATCCCGACTACCCGCTGCGGGAAACGTACCACGCCGGCCTGGGCACGACGCTGAGGATCCACGCCGTTTACATCGGCCGCCCCGAGCCCAAGATCATGTGGCTGCACGGTGCCAAGACGCTGGAGCCCACGGACGACATCAGCATCGAGACCACGGAGCACTACACCCACCTGGTCATCAAGAACGTCCAGCGCCGCGTGCACGGCGGCAAATACCGCATCCGCCTGCACAACCACTTCGGACGCACCGACACCGCCTTCAACGTGGACATCTACGGTGAGTCCAGAGACCGCCGCGTTTACACCGACCGCGACGACTGCCACCGAAACTGAAGCAAAACAATGTCAAATACTCAACTTTAGTACCCCACAGAACTTAAATACCCCAATTTAGTACCCCACATAAGTTAAATATCTGTCTGTAACTTGTCGTCTTGTGGTTCCAGACAAACCGGATGTTCCTCAGGGCCCGATCCGCCTGGACGCGCTCCTGAAGAACTCTGTGATCATCAGTTGGAAGGCGCCGGTGGACGATGGCGGCTGCATGATCACAAACTACATTGTGGAGAAGCGCGAGGACAAGGAGGGGGCGACGTGGGAGCTCGTCTCCTCCTCCGTCAACGGCACCAGCTGCAGGGTCCCCAACCTGGTGGAGAGCGCCGGGTACTTCTTCAGGGTCTACGCCCAGAACACGGCAACAGTGAACCACTGGAGCTCACCGCACCCATCCTCATCAAGAGCCAGCTCGGTGAGTGGGTCTGAACCAGGACTAAACCAGGACTAAACCAGGACTCAAACAGGACTCAAACAGGACTCAACCAAGACTCAACCAAGACTCAACCAAGACTCAACCAAGACTCAACCAGGGATCTTCTCTGTCTCTTTGCAGAGAGACCGTCTCCTCCTCTGTCTCCCGTTGTCTCCGGCATCACAAACACATCCTGTGTTGTGTCGTGGAAACCTCCGCTCAGCGACGGCGGCTCCAAGATCAAGTGCTACCACCTCGAGAAGAAGAACAAGAAGGACAAGAAGGACTGGACCGAGTGGACCGCCGTGACCACAGACGAGATCAAACAGACCGTGTTCTCCGTCAAACGCCTGACCGAAGGCGTGGAGTACGTCTTCAGAGTCAAGTGCGAGAACCTGGGCGGCCACAGCGACTACAGTGAGGAGACAGCACCTGTCGTCCCAACCACTCCAGTGGATGTCAGAGCGCCCGCCTTCAAGGAGGAGCTGAGGAACCTGAGTGTGAAATACAAGAGTAATGCCACACTGGTGTGCAAGATCACTGGCCAGCCCAAACCCGTCATCAAATGGTTCCGCCGCGGCAAAGAGGTCCACTCCGATGGCAAGAAGATCAAAATCCAGGAGTTCAAGGGCGGCTATCACCAGCTGGTTATCACCGAGGCCGATGAGGAGGACTCCACTGTGTACCAGATCAGAGCCACCAACCAGGGCGGCTCCATCTGCGCCACAGTGTCTCTGGACGTGGAGATCCCCGCCAAGATCCACTTGCCCAAGAACCTCAAAGACAAAGAGGCCATTCCGGCGCTACGCGGCGAGGTGGTAAACATCAAGATCCCGTTCGGCGGAAAGCCTGACCCTGTCATCACCTGGCAGAAGGGGCAAGACCTGATCGACAGCAACGGGCACTACCAGGTCATCGTCACACGCTCCTTCACGTCTCTCGTCTTCCCCAATGGCGTCGAGAAGAAAGACGCCGGCTTCTACATCGTCTGTGCTAAGAACCGCTTCGGCATCGACCAGCAGACGGTGGAGCTGGACGTGGCTGATGTGCCCGACCCGCCCAGAGGCATTAAGGCCAGCGACGTGTCCAGGGACTCTGTCACCCTGAACTGGGTTGCCCCCGCCAACGACGGCGGCAGCAGAGTCATCAGCTACATCATTGAGAAGTGCGCAACCACGGCAGAGCGCTGGGAGCGTGTGGCTCAGTCCAGAGACACACGTTACACCGTCATCAACCTGTTCGGAGGAACCAGCTACCAGTTCAGAGTCATCGCCGAAAACAAGTTTGGCCAGAGCGCCCCGAGTGAGACGAGCGGTCCAGTCATGACCAAAGAGGACAAGTCCCGCGTCCTGCTGTACGACCGCGAGGTGGATGACTCCGACCGCGTGCCCAAAGGCAAAGCACCTCACTCTGAAGGCAAGAACCTGCACAACAAGTACAGCATTGCTGAGGAGCTGGGCAGGGGCCAGTTTGGAATCGTACATCGCTGTGTTTCTGTGAGCTCTGAGAAAACTTACATGGCCAAGTTTGTGAAAGTGAGAGGAGCCGACCAAGCCATCGTGAAGAAAGAGATCGCCACTTTGAACCTCTGCAAACACGTCAACTTCCTGCTGCTACACGAGTCCTTCGACAGCCCCGAGGAGCTGGTCCTGATCTACGACTTCCTGTCCGGAGGAGACGTGTTCGAGCGCCTCTACAGCGCCGACTTTGAACTGAACGAGCGCGAGGTCGTGAGCTACATCCGACAGGTGTGCTCCGCCCTGCAGTTCCTCCACGGAGAAGACTACGGTCACTTTGACATCCGCCCTGAGAACATCATCTACACCACTCGCACCAGCTCCCACGTGAAGATCATCGAGCTCGGCCAGTCCCGCCACCTGACCCCCGGCGACATCATCAAGATCCAGTACACCACAGCAGAGTACGCGGCACCCGAGATTCACCAGAGCGACATGGTGAGCACCGTCACAGACATGTGGAGCGTCGGTGTCCTGGCATACGTCCTGCTGAGTGGCCTGAACCCTTTCATCGCCGAAACCAACCAACAAATGATCGACAATATCTCCAACGCCGCCTACAGCTACGACGACGAAAGCTTCAAGCAGGTGAGCGTGGACGCGCTGGACTTCACCGACCGCCTCATGACCAAAGAGCGCAAACACCGTATGACCGCCGCCGAGGCGCTGGCGCACCCCTGGCTCACCAGACCCGCCGAGGAGACGAGCACCAGGGCCATCCCCACTGGCCGCCACAAGAGGTACTATCAGACCATGGTCCGAAAGGAGTGGTCCACTGTGGTGTCAGCCGCCCGCGTTGCCAGCGGAGGCTCCATTCGCTCTCAGCGTGGCGTCTTCGTGGCTAAAGTGAAGATCGCGCCATTCGAGCACGGTCCGCTCGCCGGACAGATCGCCCACTCTGTCGCAATGACGGAGATAGCATCAAATTCATCTGCAACATCGAGAACTATGACAGCAGCACCGAGGTGACGTGGTACTGTGGCGTGCGGCAGCTGGAGGCCAGTGACAAATACGTGATGGAGTACGAAGACGGGCTGGCCACGCTCAGCCTGACCAAAGCCACTCGCGCCGACGACGGCACGTACCGCTGCAAAGTGGTGAATGAATACGGAGAGGACAGCGCCTACGCCGAGCTCTTCATCAACGGCGTGCGCTCCTACCGGGACTTCTTCATCACCAGGGTTGTGAAGAGGACGAAACGCCGCGTGGACACGGCGCGTCTGTTGCAGAAACCGCCAGAGTTCACACTGCCGCTCGTCAATAAGACCGCCTACCTCGGCGAAGACGTGCGCTTCGGCGTCACCATCACCGTGCACCCGGAGCCCCGTGTCATCTGGCACAAATCTGGGCAGAAGCTGATCCCAGGACAGGACGATAAGAAATACACTTTCATCAGCGACAAAGGCCTGTATCAGCTCATCATCCATGGCCTGGAGGAGGAGGACGATGCCGAGTACAGCGTCGTGGCTCGCAACAGATACGGAGACGACAGCTGCAAAGCTCGTCTCACCGTGGTGCCCAGGCCCAAACCCGCCGACCTCACGCTCAGACCCATGTTCAAACGCCTCCTCGCCAACGTGGAGTGCCGCGAGGGCCAAAACGTGCGCTTTGAGATCCGTGTGTCTGGAAAACCAGCGCTGAAGTGGGAGAAGGACGGAATGCCGCTGGCCTTTGGACCCTCCATCGAAGTGGTGCACGAGGGGTTGGACTATTTCATCCTCCACATCAGAGACACTCTGCCGGAAGACTCTGGCATCTACAGAGTCACCGCCACCAACTCCGCTGGCTCGGCCAGCTGCCAGGCCACGCTGAGGGTGGAGCGCGTCGCCCATGTGAAGAAAGAACCAGAGTTGAGTCCCAAAGAACTGGAGAAAGCCAAGGAGAAGGAGGAGATGAACAAGAAGGTGCGACTGTCCCAGATTTTGGCAGGAACAGATGTCCTGCCGCTGCCTCCCGCCGCCATCCAGGCTGTCAGAGAGGCCGCCACAATGTTCAAACCCGCCGTGACCACAAAGAAGGGTGAAAAGACAGAAGCGGAGATCCAGAAGGAAAAGGAAGAGAGGAAGAAGCGCGCAGATGAGAAGAGGCTGCGTATGCCTTACGTGGTGCCCACGCCGCGCACTGTGGACCCCGCTGTGCTGGAGGAGGACGTGCAGATCAAAGTGTTCAAACCCATGTCCGACATGAAGTGGTACAAAAAGCTACGTGACCAGTACGAGTTCCCCGAGCCCATGGACAAGATCCGTGAGCGCCGTCCCAAACGTATCCGCCTGTCACGCTGGGACCAGTTCTACGAGATCCCCATCCGCATCAAGGAACAGTACAAGCCCAAGTGGAGGCTCCCGGCCGTTAGCCAGGATGACCTGGAGACGGTGAGGCCCGCGCGCCACCGTACGCCGTCTCCCGAGATGGACGCCTACCACCGCATTCGCCGCAGGTCCCTGGGAGACCTGTCAGACGAGGAGCTGCTGCTGCCCGTGGACGAGTATCTGTCCATGAAGAGGATGGAGGAGGAGCGGCTGCGTCTGGAGGAGGAGCTGGAGTTGGGCTACTCCGTGTCGCCCCCTAGCCTCAGCCCCGTGCGCTTCGAGCTGTCCGCCCTGAGACCGTCCTCCCCTCGACACCTGGAGGAGGAGGGAGAGGAGACCGTCTGCTACGATTCCTACAAGATTCCCTCCAAGTACGAGGCCGGGCCCAGCTTCGTGGACCTGCGTCAGCGTCACGACAAAGCCACATACAAACCGCCCAAAGCGAAGCAGAGAGTGTACGAGGAGAGAGAGGTGACGGAGCTGCTGCGCCCGCCCACCACCGCCGGACGCATCTCCTCCTACAAGAGCCAGCTCAAACACATCGAGTTTGAGGAGAAGATGCGCACCTCCACAAAGAAAGAGAAGGCCATTGTGACCACTTACTCAGAGGAGGTTCAGAGCGAGCACCTGACCGCTTTCACTTCCGAGTACATCCCTAAACCGCTGAAGAAACTGCCCCTGCCCGCGGCGGAGCCTGAGAGCACCCCAGAGAGGGCTAAGATGGAGGTGACGTACTCCAAAGTCGACTTCGCGTCTCGGTATGAAGAGAGGAAGCAGGCGCTGAGGGCCGAGAGGAAGTCTGTGGAGCGCAGAGAGGTGCCTCCTCAGGAGCCCTTCAGTTTAGATCACGCCCCTCGCATCACCATCCGCCTGCGGTCCCACCGCGTGCCCTACGGAACCAACGCATGTTTCACCCTGAACATCCAGGCCAAACCCGAGCCCTACATCACCTGGTACCACAATGGCAAAGAGATCGGCGCCGGCACCAAGTACCACATGTCCAATGTGAACGGTGTTCTGACGCTGAAGATTAACCGTTGCGTGACCGAGGACTCCGGCACGTACCGCGTCGTTTGCCGGAAC